AAACTGACTACCTCAACGTACTGTGAAACACCCTGCAAAGATGTGCATTTGGGGCTGCTTTTCTAAACAGGGATTGAGGAATTTATTTACGAATGACTTGAAGACAATCAGAATGATAAAAATTTACCAAAGAGGTATGCTAAGATAAGTTGATAAATGATTTGGTAGGAAAAATCGATATTGCAAGGGGATAATGATCCTAGATATTGGGCAATGGTATCCAGGTACTAGACTTCACAATTGTTGTGGGGATATATGAAACGAAAGTTTCGAGAAAAAAATACATGGAATTTAGTTCACCCAGAGAATATGCTTAGGGGATGCCAGGCAATAATAACGAATAACGGAGATTGGATAACATGAAAGCGTCGAAATTTTTATAATAACTATACCCAAGTAAAAATTTTACCGGGCACACTTACTACACGGACTGTAGATCGTACCGAGGATGTTAGAATTTCGAATCGAAACTTCACCACAATGTCGTGCCAAGGAAGACAGCTCTAATCTACTTAAATTAAAGCTCAATGTCAACGGGAAGAATGCTCGGCTGGTACCGTGCAAAAGTATCAGAGTATACGTTTATCATCTTCTTTCCTCGTATCCGCCATTCATTTCCCGACGACGACGCGGGTCTTCGAGACTAAAGAAAGGTAAGGCGCACATGTCCAACGACTCGGAGTAAACGAGAATGTCGCACTAAATTGCTTGTCTCACCGTTCTTCCTTCCTTCCTTCCTACCTGGCTTCCTCAAAAAGCGACGAAGATACGACAGATGGTTTCCCGTGACTTTGCGACTTTTTTCCCCGGATAAACGATTAGGAGACCCGGTGGGGAGGGCAAGATGAAACCCGAGATTGAACAGATGAATTGAAAACCCCTTTCGCCCTCGTTTAATCACCTATCCGCAAGAACTCACGAGTCAACGTCTCTCGCGAGCCGATTAAGCTCCAGGCCGGAATAGACGTTTAAACAGGTTCCGCAGGACGGTGCAATTTTATCCTTTATAAGATAGAATTTCTTTTCAAGCTGGGCTTCATCCTTCGACCGTGTCGTTACGTTCAACGGATCATCAAAACGATTCTATCTACTCTTAACGACTACCGATTTTCACCGTCTGTATCCTGGCCTAATATTTTCATTTCACGGTTACCTCCCGGCACCTACTCGTCGATCAACGAAACGCGACTCCGTTGAATGTCGGGCACGTGTGTGGTTAACAGCCCACCGTTTGTACGCGTTTATTCGATATCGATAGCCGGACCCGCGTAATGCAGGCCGCGTGTCAAATAAACAGCGAATACCTGATACCGGGTAACTATAACCGTAACGAAAGGAGTTCGAACGATCGTTATCGAACTAACCGCACCGATCATCCGAAGCCGAGGCTTCTCGGACGCGAGCAACCCTGGCATAGTTCAACAACTTGCCCCCCCCCCTTTTAGGATAGATACGATTCGATAGGTGGCTCGAGACTTTATAAAACTCCGAATAACTAACACACGTTCGTGTGAAAAAGGAAAACGACCAGAGCGTTTGCTTCTTTCCCGAAGGAGAGCCTTTTGCTCGAACAGTTCACGCGTAAACTACGGGAAGAAAGTTTCCCGAATTAACAAACCAGTGTATCGGCCCAGGGTATATTGACAGTCTGAATTAGGGATGTTCGATTCCGATTTTTGAGAAGATCGATGCCCTTGGGTAACACGTCACCGGAATTGGGCATAACTTTATTCGAATAATACATCATGAAAACCAGCAGTATCTAAGATCATCAACCTGAGCTTTAAACTGTTAATGAGATTAAAGAATTATCTACTCATTCAAGAAGAATTGTTATTTTATTATAAACATTCGAATTTCTACGTTTAAATCAATTCGAAATTCTTTATGTAGGTAATTAATTCGCTCATCTCTGCACGTCACTGCCATGTACAGTAAATCATCGATGAGTGTTCGAAGGATCCTCGACACTAGAATGTTTAGATGTCGTCCCCACCATTGGGCGCTTGCCTGGTTGCCACTGGGAACTCCTCTAGTGGTGGGGATGACGTCTGAACACTCAGTGCAGACGAGCCTTCGAACACTAATCGGTAATTTACTATACAACACATACACTACCGGCTAAAAGTATGGGACCAGAGTTCATGATTGATGGAACAGTAACTCGTTATCCTATTACCACAAAATATCCATTAATTTCAACGCGTTACCTTCATTAACTCTTTATAGAATAATATTTTCCTCTTTCTTTAACTATCAGACCTGGTCCCATACAGTTCGGCCGTTACTGTATGTGTTACACACACCAGTGACGGATTACCCAAGAGGATCAATCTTCCAAAGAATCGAACATCCCTAGTCTGAATGTACATACCGAACGGTGGCCATCAAGCGCGCTACGTAGAACAAAAAAAAACGTTAACACAGCCGGGCGTATCTTGCGAACGCGACTCGCGTCATGCATACCTAAAGCGCAATTAGATGGCGTGTAATTTCAGTCGTCGCCCCTCCACGCTCTGTTCCCAGCCGGTGGTGGTCCGATAAAGAGGAAACGAAAGAAAAGGCAACGGCAAAAGGGCAAGGAGACACCGGCAATTAGAGTGTCGCGAGACGCGACAGATGCGCAACCCCTCCACCCCGTTTTTTTACGAACGAAACGGAGTGCACACGCGTTTCGGTCCGTTCCGAGAACGTGACACGGCGTTTAAAATCTCGAGGCAAGAATGAAATTTCACATCGCGATCGAAACGTTCGAAAGAAGGAGCAAAAGAACTCGAGATCGCCTGAAGGTGCCGAATCTCGAAGCCAGCCACTCTTTGCCGTGGAGAGGATGGACGCGAAGAAAGGTGGAGACGGACAGGTCGAGAGCAATAGGCTGAGACAAAGCCGTTTGAAATAGGGTAGTACCGCGGGTGCCCGCGGAGGAATGGTCGATGGCTTTTTAGAATTTTTAATAAGCGGCATCGGCACGCTTGCAATTCCACGCGAAAGCGGAAATGTAAATTCAGCGGTTTCCCTGGCCGGAAGGGGGTGGACTGGTCTCTTTCTCTATCTACTCGTAATACCGACATTAAAATTGCAAACCGTGCAACGGGCTCTCTCGCCGAAGCCTTCGTCTTCTATCTTCTTTTTCCATTCCCAACCTCCTCCTTCTCTTTCCATCTGTTTCACTCTCTCGTGACGGCTATGATTGTCCGCGGAGATCTTCAAGTACTAACGTGGAAACAGTGTTCGAGCAGCAGTAAATGAAAGCCGCCGTTAGTCATGGAAACGCGTCTGCGGATGCGTCATATTAAAATCCGGCATTGTTCGTCTTCAATGCGGAGACGACTCCGGGAAAGCGAGTTAGGGGGGGGGGGGAACCAACCGGGGCGTGGATATATAGTGTTCCGCGTTATTATTGTCTGCGGAGTTTTCTTGCAAATGAACGGCGCGAGAAAACAAAATACGAACGTGGAGAAGCCTCCGTCTGTTTTCTCGATGAAACACTTCGATTATTCAAATCGATTTTACAACGGTTTCTGTATATTGATCGTCGATTACGATACGAACATGTTAGACACTAAAGGTACGTGTTCACGTGACAGTAACTAACGAGTTTTACTGCCATGACGCTAAATGTTATGATTTTTGTCGTGAAAACTAGATGTCGATTTGTCGTTAGATTGGTTTACATTGTCATACAATGTCACGACAACAAAAACCCCGGCTACTTACAAAATATTTTTCAAAGTGATTTGCAAAGGCAAATGTGAAGGTTGAATTTTTCTCCATTTCTTAAAGATCTTATTATGACAAGAAAAGACACAAGATGTATTAGATCTGATGTTAGCTTTACCATTTATCATATTTCACATAGTTTTACATGCTATAAATGCATATAATCCGCAGTTTAGCCATGACTTGGACTGTCACGTGAACACGTACCTTAACGACAGATCGTGAAATAGCCTGGATCTACGATTTGGATCACTTATTGTCGCAACTAGCGGATCAAAAGGATACAGATTGGGTGATTTATCAAACGAAAATATCATGGATGAAAACCAACGCGACTAAATATCATAATGCAAATGATCAGATTAATTTTAATGTCCGCTATTTAACAGCAATGTCATCTACAACCACGTCAAAGTAATTACACAATCGCGATTCGTTTATCTTTTCTCCTAAATTCGATGAGCGCTTTTGTCATACAGGGATGGAGGATAACGTTGATAAAACAACAGTGTCAGAGTGTTCCTAAATACGGTTTCGTTTTAATGCAACAGCGTATCGCTTTATCGGCTCTTGGTTAAACACCACACACGCGCAGCAAATCCATAACGGTTTCCCGTTTCGTTTAAATATTTTCGCAAGCGAAAAAGCTATTAGGTTTTACGAGCAACGATAAAACCTTCCAGCGAATCGCGAACACATTAATTTGGTAGAAAAAAAAAAGCAAAAAACTGAATGGAATAAACATTGAATTGGGAAAAACACGATATTCCGACGGTGTGCCGGAAAAGTTACCGGAAGTCGATGACAAAAGATGTCCGTGGAGAATAGACCGCGTCGTCCTTGCTTCGACAGATAGATTCTCACCGCGATCGTTTTTACGTGCGGTACGTGAAAAATTACAGGACAAGCATTTCACGGTATGCAAAAAAGTAAAGGACAACGCGACCTTAAATGCTAAACCAATACAGAAACTTGATCGACAAATTCCTCCGCGTCCGTACACGACTAATGGCCGACACATAAACAAACAATCGACGACACGCGACTCAACAGGCGACCGTTACGCGAAACATCTTCCATTAGATATTATATGCAACAACATAAATATTCAATGTACGCAATAATGGAATTTGAATAACGACAAAATCAAGGGAATAAATATGCATGGTACAGTATCGATATACCGTGGTGAGCATACAGTTCGCTGCGCGTGTACACCAAAGCATGAGCATCATTGCAACGAAACATGCCGCAGAATAATGCAACAATTATGAGCTTACCTTTGCACATTCGTTGACAACAGGGTCCGTACACGTGTTCCAGACGAGTTTTTTCAACACTAACAACAAAAAACTACTGAAAGGTGACAGAACAACGTGACACACGAAACAAACCAGCCGGCCGGCCGCGCACCGACTACGAAAATTCGTTCTACTTCGCGCACGAATGCGCCCCAACCGGCGTTGTGGCGACACCTTCTTCGTAAACTATAACCACTAGAGGGCCCGTATCTTTATTATGGTATTCGAAATACGGTAACGATCCAGAGAAATCGGCGTTAAAACATGCTTAATTCGCGACGTAACACTTGTCGCGGCAACGTACAACCGTGTAATGAAGTTTCGACTGCTCTAAGCGGGCGGTGGATCTGCGAAGAACACAGACAGAAAGTACGTATCGCCATCTAGCGGTTTGAAGTTGCAATTCACTACCCCTGGAGATATGGCCACCGTGGCCACAGACAAAGTGATAGGGATAGACCTAAAGTCCAATGGAAAATCGCGGCTGGATTTTCCCAATTGCTATCGCCCTATTAACATTTTATAGATACGTTGCAGTATTACCAATAAAGAATGAATTCTGAATAATTATCACGAGTGAAGTACAAAATATGTAAGTGACTCATGAAGCTTACAGCTGATTGGAGGGTAAAGAAGCTAATAATAAGAATCAGTTCAGAAACTACATAACGAGCTCGCAGCCAATTAGTTCAGATGGTTTGCTACATAATTAGTGATCTCATAGGTGACCAAGGTTATCCAATTACGTACCAAATAATAATGATTGATCAGGTCACCACGTGGAGGTTGCTGCGAATGAAGACCCACCTCCCGTCGCGCCTACGCCGCCCACCGTTTGCACAACATTTTTCCCACTGAACGAAATTGTTTTTTGTATCGATACTGCCCCTGATCTTAATATAAACAGAATTCCCTTCGTATGATAGTCACACAATAAGATATGTATGAAACCTTCTAGCAGGTCGTTTGTTTCGACGATTCCTTTGTACCCCCTGTGATAGCCTGCACCGGCCCCTACCTACTTAGGGACGTTGGAGTCTAATCATGCACTCACACACCAGAAAGTATCCTATATACCTGCCTACAGGACCCTATATTTAAAAAAAGAATACACAACGCTTCACGGTTTTCAAGCATACACCCGGGTGCAAATTAGCCTAATCCTAGAGAGGACGTCCCTGGACCCCTCCAACACAGGAGCGTGATACTCAATTTGCACACTCTAAACTATAAGTACGTACCATTTTCCTGAAATCGATTGGTAAAGGCTAGCAACCTTTACGAAAATACTAAAATATAAAAATGTTTTCTACATCAACTAGGCAATACATATACATGCACTAGAGTAAACTTTGGATCGATTACGTGCTAATTCTCTCGTCGGATTACGAGAGACTAGATCAATGCATGTACCAGGGAAGTTCAATTATCGACATTGTATAAAAGAAAATACGACACGGTAAACTAAAGCATTGCCAGGAGCAATTCTGCAGTTGTCCTTTCATTGTAAACAATTCCAAAGCCATATATTTTGTACCACTGGTTGACTAATTGTCGAAAATTTGCATTCAAATATACTTTCTGATCAATAAAGGAATTCAACTGCATACTTACATTGCTGCATCCTCGAAAATTTCTTACTGCAATTCGTTTTAGACATAAAGCATTAATACACGAGCCTCATAACACTTTTGCTGCGAATTTCTCGAAATTTTGAAATGGCGGAACTTTCCTGTGCGCCATCTATGATAAATACATGTCGTCAATTTGAGAATGTCTCCAAAGTTTGTCCTATTTGAGGAGTAATACTAATTAAATAAACTAATTAATATTTAAATTATTTAATGAATATTAAATAAGTTTAATACCTGTATAAAACAGCCACTATTTATATACATATAGAATATAGAGCGTGTCAGCGCAACGTAGTGACGAGAATGTGGTACTAATTGGCTAGTAGCTTCCCCTGTTTTCCGTAGATGTCGTTCTTCGGATGACTTACGTTTATGTGTTCAAAAATTAAACATTAATACGTAATTAATATTAATCGACCATTTCGACAATAAGATTATGAATCTTAGGATACATGAACGTACTAAACACATGAGAATAAACAAAACTTTTATTCTTACGAGTAAGCAAAATGTTTTTCATACAATAAAATAAACAGTTATGTATTCACCAACAATGGATTCTTTATGGATGTAGTAAAAAAACAAGTGACAGTTTCATTTTCAACGGGAAATTTTATTACAAGAATCTAGGTGTATTGTTTTCAAATGCGCAAAAATTGGTGCATTAAAGCAATATAAAAGTAGTTTATAATTAAGGAATATTGGCAAGATAATCCTTGACACTGGAGGGGTCTAGTCTTCTGAAACCACTTGCATCACAGATACCAACTTCTATATTATCTGCTGTCATCTGTCCTTCAAAACCCTCTTTCAGAGTTAAAATGGCAGTGTGGACAGCATCATCGAGTTCCAAATCTTTACTGTACCTTTTCTCAAGGAAGGTCTTGCCATTTATAAAATTTTTGCCCATGGCAGTAGCTTTCCATGCAAAATATGCTCCAGAGGGATCACATTGGAACAAATATGGCTTGCCGTTGTCCCAGCCACAAATTAATAAGGATACTCCAAAAGGTCTGACTCCGCTGTAATTTAAATTCCAGTCTATTAGCTGCAATACTGGCTGGGGAAGAAAAGACATAGTCTGAAAAATTATGTACCCAGATTGTGTATATTCTTGCATAAGCATAGCAACCCGTTGTACTAATTGGGCAGTGGGTATTGGCTCCTGGTAAACCAGTAGGTATTGCTGTGCCATTTTACGTGCTTGTTTCACTAAAAGCCGATAATCTGGCCCCATACCACTGTACGTCATACCAATATGCTTTGTTATCATCTCCACTTTGTTCACGCTATGTTCGTCGTACAATATAGATTTGTGCTTGTTTTCAGTAGCAAGGACGATTCCATTGGATGCCTTGATACCCACACTAGCTGCTCCAGCAGCCACAGCAGCCAGAGCATATTCTATTTGCACTAACTTCCCAGAAGGGCTGCATAACAGAGTAAATTAATTCTTATAGTGTGGCAGTTCGGTTGTACAGATATCTGACGAGTCATTGTATGTTTCATTGAAATCAAAGGGCTTCCAACACAGAGCAATGTTAATTTTTATAATCGGTATTAAATGGACGATGCCTTGCAAGGTAAATTTGTTGTTTTATTAATGTATATTCAATGATAATTCTGTATACTAATGCAGTTGATTCGATGCTAGGTTATATTCTTCTTGAGAGAGTTTCAATGATCAATGAAATTGTATGTAGTGGACAAAAGTATGACGGGTTCGGTTTTCAAAGATTAAGAATTGTTACAACAGAAAATGATTATTTACCTGAAAGTTGTTAACGAAAAACTATACCGTTCCGAAGCCATGACAATTACTTTGCAACAATACAGGTTACTAAATACCCTGAACTTTCGGTGTAAGGAGTGCCAACGTACAGAAATGAACACCACGAAGATCCATATCACTAGGATCTTTTTAGTTTAATCTTGTCGTAACGCGGTTACTTTTAAATTTCAATGTCGCCGAACAGGCGCTGCCCAACTTCAAATAAAAGATGAATATCAATGAGACGTCAGAATGTGTCAGAATGGACGTTTCTTTCGAACGAGAGTCAACCGAAATCAGGTCCTGCTGTAGGAACAAATTTTTCCGTGAATTCGTGTAAGATCGGGCACGATACCGCGGAAGAAATTATGTTGATTGCGAACACGTGTCTTCTCCGTTCTGTCGAATAAGGTGTGTTTTTTTATAAAGACTGTAGGTCAAAGTCAAACGGAACGCGATGGCCGACGAAAATTGGAAAATTTCGGAAGATCAGGCGGAACAATTGTACACGTGGATCGCTACGATTCCCTTCTCGAAACCGAAAAAGAATTTAACGAGGAACTTTTCGGACGCTGGTACTTGTTCCTTCCGACAACTGTTCTTTACAGTATCCATTATTAAAAATGGTGTGACACTCATTTTGTTCATTGTATTTTAAGTAATTAAGGAATGTATGTCTTAGTACTGATGGCAGAAGTCCTCAAGGTGTACTACCCCCGCTTCGTTGATCTTCACAATTACGTGCCAGCCAACAATTTGACGACGAAGAAAGAAAATTGGAACATATTGAATCGGAAAGTGTTCAGCAAGATTAACATGAAACTGTCCAAAGATATGATCAACCAGCTAGCAAATTCACAACCTGGCGTCGCTGAACACTTGTTGCTGGAGCTGAGGAGTAAAATTTTAAAGAATTCCGATCATTCGAACGCTTTATGCAACGAAAAAGAAAAGGACTCTGCGGAGGATGGTAACGCAGGCATTAACTAGTTTAGGAATAATCATTGCTCGTCTGTAGGAATTTAATCGTATATATTTTCCAAGCGAATGGTACTTTGCTTAGGCCAAAGCAACGAGTTCGTCGCGGTGGATGAAAATTTCGTTTCGAGTTCAGCACATCAATTAATCTCACACACGTTCGATTCCAATAAATCGACATTGAAGCGTGCCAAAAGCAGTTTCTTCCAAGCACTGTACTGTCTGATAACTTGGTTCTGTATTTGGAAGTATTTTTCAAGCATAAAATTCCGAGGTTCCCGTAAGTTTGGAACGTTTTATTGGACATGCATTTTTGGCGGCGGAATTTCCCTGGATTTAGATGCGTTCCTTTTAAATGAAACTCGTAATATATTTTCTCTTCTCCTGTCCAAAGGTGTAGAAGACGCCGACACGTCTAGAACGCAGGCCATGTCCCAGTCTATCAAGCCGGAAGACGTCGTTCCTCGTCACGTTTGCACGCAATTAAAGCAAGAACTCCGCGCGAAAGACGACATTATCTCCACCTTAAATTGCAAGGTCGCGTATCTAGAGAATGCGATGAAAGTGAAAGACCTGCGAATATCGAACCTGGCGTCGCAAATTTTGCAGAACGCCGTAGACTCCGAACAACTCGCGAAAAATCAAACGAACGAGGCGCTAAGCAAGCCTCGTACACGAGCATTCAATATTCCGGAGAAAATGAAACCGGAAGAATAATCTGTATTAAGCTAAATAAACCTCGAATCCTTTATGATTTCAGTTGTTTGGTATAATTAATTCTCGCTTAGGGTCTAGAAACCACAGATTTCGAGGGAACTGCCGAGTCATGGTGAACCTAACGGTAATACTTCGAATAAGGGAAACATCAGTGTAAGAATGCTTAGTGTCTGTTGTAACATTCTCTAGAAATACATAGATTTGGCCCGTATATATACCATGTCATCTTGAGCAGGAGACTTTATTGTGTCATGTTAGCTTAACTGTGAATAGCTTAAAGTATTTAGAGGTCTACGTGACTCCTGAAGTGAAGATTTTCGATAGGTAATGCTGCGAAAAATGGCATCTTAGGACTACCATAGGAACTGTACCATTTCTACTGTTTAGAAATTTTCATATAATTTTGTAAGTAAAACAATTAGATCGCAAGCGTTTCGCACAGACACGAAATCCGTGAATTTAGAAAATATAACGAGTTTTTTTCCAGGACGAAGTTATAGAGGACTTGACCTTAAAGTCCATAAAAGCCACGCTGTTGTCGGTGTCCTTGAAGCTGGAGGAAAGAGAAGAGCGGAAAGGGAAGAGTGGAAAGAGGAGAAAGAAAAGAGACAACCTGTTACACGGTGCACGGTCACGTATCGCAATGTCAGTATAGAGGTAACTCTCCGACAGGATAGGTAGTACGCGAGTACTTGGGACTCTCGAGGCAGCCTGAATGAGAATTTGGTAGCAACTAGAGTGAGTATAATTCAACGCTAAATTAACACAATTTTCCCTCTGCTGGCTTCTCGTGCTCGGTGCTTGACATGTTTTACGCTGTCCTTTTGAAATTTGACTACCTCGCGCTCTTGCATGGTCGCGATGACGTTAACATTCCCCGTTTTTCTAATTCTTACGAACTCAGACCCGCAAGATTTTCTCTGTCCCTTAACAAATCCGACTTATATTTCTAAATAAACGGTACTCGATGAAAATTTACGGTAAACAATTTTAAAACACGCGAATCTTATTCCTAAAGTGGCAACAGTTACTCGAGGTCTTCGCGTAAAAAACCATGTAACAAAAACACAAAAGTACTTACTTAAACGAAATAACAGATGCCGGGAATCGGTACAAAGTACAGAAAGTTAAAAAAAAAAAAAGACACATTATCTGGAATAATAAATAGTTGTGCATCACCTTTGACATATTTTTTTTTGTCGATTTGATGTCATGCTTAGGTTACGAAAGAATATATATTCGTATAATTATAATACAGGAAAGTATATAAGTGTCTGCTCCAAGAGAAAATACAGTCTGTATACATACTCTGTACGAGAACCGGTTTAGCTTGTCTTCGATGTGCGCTTGACTAACGGAAACTATTTGAAGATACTCGCGAATATAATTTTCGGAAACGTGACGGTGCAGTTTTATCGCTTGATTAATTCTATAAGGTAAACATAGACACAGAGTAACAATCGTTGAATAAATTACGTACAAATCGGACTCGATGACGGACAATGACGAAGCAGTTGAATATCTCGTGATCATCTCGTAGGACGAGATATCCCATCAGGTAGAACGTTGCCGTCCGATATGTCTAACGACCCATGCTCACGGTCATCGACCTTCGCTTGGAATCTTCTCGAGTGGAAGACTTTAATGCTAACTGCCATAAAAAGAACAGGTTCCGAAGGTTGACCAATATTACGAAATACAGAAAATGTAAATTTTAATGTCCAAATGTATTATTGAATAACATTTCGTATATTATCCCTATGCTCACCAGCGTTAATCGTTGCTTCTGTATATGTTCTTTGATATACACAAAAATCGACAGTTTCACTGTTTTTAATACAGACTGCGACATATATTACCGTACCACGTCTATTTAGATCATGTTACTGAAGATCGTGTCTTGCACGACCCTGTGTTACTTGGCCACAGCAGCGTCACTCGGGGTGCTTCTGCTTCTATTGGCGGTGTACTTTTACGCTCAGTACACATTGGGAATTTGTAAGAGCAAGACCAACATGGCCGGGAAAACTGTGATAATAACCGGTTGCACTTCCGGCATCGGAAAGGAGACAGCAAGGGACATCGCGAAGAGAGGCGCCAGACTCATTATGGCCTGTCGGAACACGGATGCGGCGAATAAATTGAAAGGTTCGTTCACACTCAGGAATCGTTGCTGTCTAATTTTATGCAATTTGAACTCGACTGTACTGTATCTCACTGAATAATAAATTAATAAGTAGTGTTTGCAATCAATTACAATATGACTAAATCCAAAGCAAAAAAAAACCTCTAATGACCGATTAAAGCGTTGCATTGTCAATTAGGAATAAACATATACTTTAACGTTTGCAAATATATGCCGGTGTTGTGCGAGACAATTACCCCGGAGGTCATTTCCATTGATAATTACGACACCGTGACTCGTGCTAATTGCATGGTAATGCTCTTAGGAGAAGAACGTAAGAGTTCTTGCAAAAAAAAAGAGATTAACCTATCGGCAGGTTTACTTTCTTTTATCTGATCTGTAAATGAGCAATTATACATTTTACAGAGGAATTGATCAAGGAATCGAACAACAACAACATCATCGTCCGGAAACTAGACCTTTCGTTGCTGTCATCGGTGAGAGAGTTCGCGGAACAAATAAATCGCGAGGAGAACAAGTTGGATGTGTTGATACACAACGCCGGAACGGCCGAAGTGTTTAGGAAAAAAGTGACAGAGGACGGTCTGGAAATGACTATGGCAACAAATCATTACGGGCCATTTTTGCTTACCCATCTCTTAATCGGTGGGTTAATTACTCGTCGACGTAATGTATACGTTATTAATGGACTTGTAATAATTCCTTGAATTATCAACGTTGCTAATCGACGTGTTTATCACCGACAGATTTGTTGCGACGATCGAAACCGAGCCGTATAGTTGTCGTCGCCTCGAGCTTGTACGTTTTTGCTAGAGTGAATCTTAATAACATCAACCCGACGACAACTTTGCCTGGATACTTATACTACGTTTCCAAATACGCCAACATCATGTTCACGTTGGAATTGGCGCGACGCCTCGAAGGTTCCGGCGTGACTGCGAATTGTCTGCACCCTGGTCTGATGAGCACTGGAATTTGGAAGAATGTCCCACCACCAATGTCCTGGTTGGTGAACTTTTTGCTGAACAATCTCTGCAAAACGCCGGAACAGGGAGCGCAAACAACCATACATCTTGCCACCTCCGAGGAGGTCGAAGGAGTTTCCGGCAAATATTTCTCCGATTGTCGTGTAAGTATATATGACCTTGTTTCGGAAAAATCGAATTTTAATCGGATAAATTAATCGATCGATTGTCTTATTTCAGGAGAGCTCACTGTGCTGCGGTGTGGCGGATCCATCCAAAGGCAAGAAATTCTGGGAACTCAGCGAAGGCATAGTGAAACTCCAACCAACGGATCCAAAAATTTAAGAAATCATTCCTCCCAAAATGTTTAAGCATTGCGAGGCTTTCGTCGCAGTTTAATCTACTGTACTTAATATATATAATATCAATGAAGAATAAAGGAAACGAACGATGACAGTAATTCCTAGTTGTTTGCTATGTTGTCTTCAATACTCTTTGATATAAAGTTACAGTTGCGTTCACTACGACAAATAACGGAAATTTTTACGTCCCTATTAACGAGATTCTGTTTTCAATGTTTTACATTATGTGATTTAGTAGGTAAAGGGAACAATCTCTCCCACGTTCGCATTCTTTCGGGGTAAAAGTCCGTCTTCATGGTTGGGTTTAAGTTGATTTCCAAGTAATTGTTTCGTGAGGGCACCAACGTGGTCCATGTGACACCTTTGAACTTCTCGTCGTTCTTTGGAATTGGTTCTCCAGTTTGCACGAAGTTCGTCCACATGGTAGTGTATTTTTCTACCATAGGGATTTCCGGTGCGTCGCTTTCGAAGTACTGGAAAATCTGTTTCATGAAGAACAGGAACTGCAGGTCGTCGTGATGCACTACACCTGGAACATCATCCAATCAAATTTCGAGTACGTTCAATTAATTCGCAATATTGTATTCTCAGAACGAAGAATAGAATTTTACCGAATGGCGTAGTGTCGTTCCACATCGAGAAACTGTAACGCGACTGGAACGTGAATTTGTAGAAGTACACTGGCTTTTTGGAATACGTCGCGAACAATTTGGCCGTTCGATACATAGGAAATATGATTATACCGTCGGCGTATATCTGTAAATGATGAACGACATCAATAATATTCTAACGTGACCATTATGAGATTATGATCGTTCAAACAAAAATTTACTGACTTCCGAAAGTTCCTTATTGGTGGCCGAATTGATTGGCTGGTCGTTGAAGTAGAATCGTCGCAATTCCCTGCTGACATAGTCAGTTCGTGGCGTGCCACGTTCGTATTGTAATATGATAGGAGCCAGGTGGTTCCAGTTGTCGTTGAGCTCCTGGTACAAGGTACCATTATTTCTGAAGTCCTTTTCATAAGCTACACGCAAAAAACAATGGTATAAATGAAACCCAATAAGTCATACTTGGATCGATCGAATATTTACCAGCAGCCACTCCACCAAATTCATCCTTCGTGACGCCTAGTATTAATGGAACCTGATGGAATTTTCCCTGCTTAATCAGGTCGTACGGTTGGGCGGTCAAAAATCTCTCGACACCACGAACTTCACGTTCTACCGTCGGTTTGAAGAGTAGAATCGGATTTCCGTGCCATTCCTATCGAGATCGAAAGATTAAAGGATCAGAAAAATGAAATGCTTAATTAACCGTCATTCGAATTGCGGAAACAATTACACGAAGATCTTTTCAACTCACGAATAACGAGCTTAACGTGTCGGTGAAATTCTCGACGGGTTTTGTATTCAGACAGAGCAACATCGAGCCAGTCGTGTCGGTGGGACAGTCCAAAGCCTCGGCTTGTTTCTTGGCGAGGTCTTTTTGGCCAGTGGAGGAGATAGCACCGTAGAGGTCCGCCGAGATCGGTGTGGCACTCATCGTGATCGCTCTGTGAAACAGATCCTTGGACATCGGGGACATCATGTGTAACATTATGCTGAAACTTCCGGCACTGTAACCGCACAAGGTTACGGCGTTTGGATTACCACCGAATGCCGCGATATTTCTTTGAACCCAACGGAGGGCGACCACTTGATCTTTCAGACCGTTGTTTCCTGGCGCCAAATGGTCACCCGTGCTCAGAAAACCTGAAAAGAGATTTTTATTGAACGCACGTAGAGATCATAATATTTAGTGTTCTCTCTTCCACAGTTGCTACCTCACCTAATGCACCCAAACGATAGTTGACCGTGACCAAAACGATGTCCTTGTCTATAATGTATTGTGGTCCCCACAACGAACTTTGCCCCGAGTAGCTGTAGAAGCCACCTGGGTGCAGGAACACCATCACTGGCCTCGACACATTCTCGTTCTCGCATGGTAACTAAATTGAAATTATGTTGTAGATAATTTTGAAACTATCGATATCTGTTTTGCGTATACCTACTTTTGAGGTGTAGACGTTTAAACGTAGACAATCTTCGGAAATCAATTTAGCGCGCGGGTAAGGACAGCTAGGCCCTTCCTCGGTGGCGTCGAAAACATCTCGCCAATCTTCCGCTGGAATCGGGGGCTGGACAATTACAGAATCATGTTGGAGTGTAAAGCGACCAAGAAAAGGTACGAGGAGTATTCCAATTGTAGGATGTGAATTCTAATGCGACAATAACGGTCGTGGCGGCGTGAGGTAAGGATAATGTATATGTAATTAACAACGTTGACTTCGAGATGATTCATTGTGCCGGGAGCGTGGCTAGACCACTTATCACTGGGACGGAAAGCCTCGTTAAAGTATTTCTTGAATAACTGCGAACAGGATCGCGTGACGCATCTTTTCTGTCAGCTTCATTGTTTCCACCTACGACCACCTTTGTGCTCCATTCTCGCGAGAAATACCATACTTCAGCCAAGGCCATCAATTTAGGTAGAACGGTCAGATAACAAAATGATTGGCCCTTTGAAGAATATAGAAAAATAATGCATATTAAATATAGAATTTTTACTTGAAAACGTTGATGTCCAGTGGGCGATTCGCCGTATCTGACACCGCGGAAGGAGTAAATTTTTCGTCCTTGTCTCGATGGTATAATTGAACCACGGATCGGTCCAATTGGCGCGTTCACCAACGGCTGATCACTGGGACAATTTGGACTGGCAATAATGCCGACTACGCAAGAGAAGACTACCAGAACGATCTTCATCTTCAAACCGTGGAAGTTCTTCTGTGTCTCGAAGCACGAAAATTCTTAAATGAGTATCAGCGTGATCCAGTTAGCGGATGCAGTCGGTGCTCGTGCAAGCACTGAAACACTCTGGCAGAACCGTGGAATTTATATGGTAGCCAGCGATGAGGAAAACGAAGTGGGGAAACCCAATTACACTTCTGCGAACAATAGTAGTGCGTGAACACTTACGTGAGATCACCCCCTTCAAAGGAAGGTCGTACTATTTAAACTTTTATCGGCGAATCACCTCCACACAATTATTGCCACCCGATTTTCCCAGGGGGTTGCATCGATTGTCTTATTTCGTGCATTGATAACACTGTATCGCATGTTTGTCAACAAGGAAAAAGTAGAATCATAATGATACCATGAACTACGAAGGCATAAATTAAATAAACAATCGCGATAAGGAAAATGAGCACTTTTATTCGTGTATATATAACCGATGTCTGTCGTACGATTACGTCAAAGTTTAGGAGTTTCCAATAGATAACGTATGCATATCCACCGGGAGATAAGGATTAAGTTACTGTTAATAAATAATTGCAATTCACGACAACGAGGGCAAGGGGAACAGTCTTTCCCATTCCTTCATCCTGTCCGAGTATAAACCAGTTCTCATCGTAGGGTTGACGTTGATCTCTAAATAGTTCTTTTTCGCAGGTGCAAACCTGTCCCATTTTATATTATTAAACGGTCCGCTTTTGGGAACTGGTTCGCCAGTCTCGATGAAGTTCGTCCACATGGACGTGTACAGTTCTACCATTTGAACTTCGGGTGCAGTTCTATCGAAGAATGGGAAGAATTGTTTCATGAAGAATAGGTACTGCAGATCGTCATGGTGTACAACACCTACAAGAAATATAAATTAACGGTCTGATCTATATCAAATCATCGATCTATTGAAATAAATATGCACCGTATGGGGTCGTGGCGTTCCACATGGTAAAGCTGTAACGTCCCTGATAAGTAAATTCGTAGAAGTATACCGGTTTCCTAGAATACTCAGCAATTAGACTCGCACCGCGCCACATGGGGAATATAATAACGCTGTCCGCATAGATCTGTGAATCGTTCATACGGTAATTTCAACAAACTCCAATCGATGTATTTACAAATGATTGCGTTGATAAGAATATACCTCAGCAAGACCGTTCCTGTTAGCCGAATCGATCGGTCGACCTTTAAAGTAAAACTCGCGTAATTCCCGGCTGACATACTTCGAACGTTCTGTTCCACCTTCGTACATGAAGCTGATCGGTGCAATCCTGTCCCAATTGTCCCTCATCTCGCGATAGTAATCGTTTCCCGTTCTGGTTCCATTTTCAAACACTGTGAAACGTTAAAGGTTACGATGATACGCGTTTATGGCGAGCGATAAAACAACGATAAGTCTGGATGCTCACGGACGACTACTCCGCCAAACTCGTCCTTGGTTACACCGAATATGACTGGAACTTGGTGGAACTGGCCTCGTCTGATCAGATCGACGGGTTGCGCAGTCAAAAATCGTTCGACGCCTGGAATATTCGGCTCTACCGTTGGATACCATACCACTATCGGATCACCGTGCCATTCCTGCAAGTAAGAACAATCTTATCCCCTGAAACGATACACGATTGGGTATTTTATGGGAAATAGAAACCAACAAAAAGGTCGGACATGGTTTTCGTGAAATTCTCGACAGGCTTCGATTTCAAGCAAGACAACATTTCACGGGTATTGTTTGTGGGACAGTTCAACAGCGTCGCCTGTTTGATCGCTAGATTTTTCTGATCGGTTGGATAGGGCTCGGTGGTCAACAGCGAACCACTCATCACGATCGCTCGGTGAAATAGATCCTTGGACATCGGGGACACCAAGTGCAGCATCACGCTGAGACCACCGACGCTGTAACCGCTGATCGTCACGGAATTTCGATCCCCTCCGAACGTAGCGATGTTCCTTTGGACCCATCTAAGCGCCAGAACTTGATCCTTCAGACCCAAGTTTCCTGGTGCCTGGGAATCGCCTGTGGCTATGAATCCTGGAGAAATGAAGTCCGTTAGAAAAAAACGAACTCGTGGAATTCCTCGATGAATCTCCAAGATTACCTAATGTTCCAAGACGATAATTCACGGTGACCAGAACGATATCTTTGTCCAGCATATACTGGGGGCCAAAGTAGAAACTCTGACCAGAGAGCGAGTAGAAACCACCTGGATGAAAGAACACCAAAACTGGCCTTGATACGTTCTCATGTCTTGAGGGTAACTGAAATTTGTCAAATTAACAAAAGAAAACCCCAGTTATGCATTGAAGTATCGGTTTGATAACGTACTCGGGTCGTGTACACGTTTAGACGCAAGCAATCCTCGGACATCGGTTGTGTCTCGTCTATATTCGGACACGAAGGACCTTCCCCAGAAGCGTCGAAAACACCGTTCCAGTCGGCCGCTGGAGCGGCAGCCTATGGGAAAATTACAGAACCCATTCTCACCGGTGTCTCATAAATATTCGCTGCAGAAGGAGATGCAAGGAGATGTTTTTTCGTTCACACGGTCGAAGGTTGAACGTGGTACCAAGTTTTAGGCGTATATCGAACGAGGGATACCGTTATGCAGTTCCTGATCGAAAAGAACATTTTATAAAGTGATTCATGAAGACAAGAGTAAAAGTACGAATTTCTTTCTTCTCAAATATATTTATTAGATTAAGAATAAAGTTGAAACCTTGTTGCATCTGATGAAAGTTTTGTCTTTTATTGAATCTGCAGTCCACTGATCACTCAATAAATCCAAAAGAATTGCTCTTATTCGAGTAAATTTATCTTCAATTTGATATTAACAAAAGTGCAAAAGTAATGACAATTAAACTATAATTTAACTCTTAAAGTAAGATATGAAAAGGGAGCAATTTTATCATCACCTAAATCAACCTAATCTGTATCACACTCTGAGCTATTTACTTGTAACAATGTACTAAACTGATCAGGAACTGGGTCCGTAACGGTATCGATCTTTGGGAACCAGCCTCATAGTGCAAAAAGGATGATTAAGGAGGATCGTTTCCCTATAGGTGCAAATTGAATTGAAATTAAGGGGAGAAGCAAAAAAGCTTTACCTGAAAACGACGTTCTCCCGTAGGCGGCTCGCCGTATCTGATACCACGGAAGGAATAAATCTTCCGGCCGAGCCTTGAATCCAGAATAGAACCACGGATTGTTCCGGTCGGTGCTGGCGCTTCCGGCTGCGCAGTACCATACGGACCGCATTCGATGCCAACGATACCGAACAAAATCGCCAAGAGTATCGTCGTTTCGCGTGCGAAAATTGTCCCCTTCATTTTCCTTCCGAATTATCCGAGAACCTTGAACACTTCGAGACGTCGTCCGTTCATAGATTCAATCGCCCGACGTTCGAGAAACACTGCGAGGCCTGCGCACAACAGGAAACATTTATACACCGCGACTAACGGGTAACATAAATTATCCACAGAATTATCCTAAAGTACTACCTGTTCCTCGAGCATTCACCCGTTCGTCGTTAAGTTAAGCAAAGTTAGTGTTGCCCGTGTGTGAGGAAACAACAAGCATTAATCTAACCGCATGTCCCATTGTTTATAATCGCATTTTCCTTATTTACTTGGAACTCGTCTTGTTATAGCAAACACAACGTCGTAATCACACTTGCAAAAAAAGATCCCTGCCGGAAACTCCGGGAAAAGTGAACACAAGAACTAGCATCTGGTATTCTTGTAACGTATCAGCTGTTTTTTTAATGGAAATCGTGTGTCAATGTTTGTATTACGAATCGATATCATTAGCATTCTCCGTCTTGCGAAATGAATATCTGGTGAATAATCGAAAGTGATATCTCGAAACGAAAACATATGTAGTAAGCAAACGTTTCTCTATTTTTTTTTTATATTTATTCCATTCTGTCGTATGCTTTTATGATTAGGTTTATTATCACTGTACGGCCTCAAAGTCATAATCTATTCTGTTTCTTCTTCTTCTTGATTTTTCTTTTGTCCTTCTTCTTGCTCTTGTTTTTCCTCTGGTTCTTGATCCTGTTCTCCTTTTTTCGGCTGGTCCTTCGTTGCTCTCTGTCTTCGTTTCTTACTCTTCTTCGGTGACAGTTTCTCAGCCCTTTTCCGTTCCCTCTTCTGTTTCTTCGCCAATTCCGGAAATATACAGGGATCGTAAGTTTGTTCGTAAGCGATCGGATCGATCGGTCGCTTCTTGCGGACTTTCTTCTTCTCCTTCGACGGACACTCGCCCATTTTGTATGGTTTAGTTTTTGGTAAAACTTTCCCGTACGGCTACGATACAATAATCCCATTCGATTCGATGCTATCACACGTATTGTGTGATTTAACACTAGAACTACCAAACCCATAAAAATCACGGAATTCACGGTTTTTGTTATTTTACAATTACCGAAATCATAAAAGTGATTTCGTCGATATTCGTGTTGACCTTCAATTCACTATACAGAGTGAGTCACCTAAGACTTTCACTTAAAATATCCCCGTTGTTTTTAATAAAAAAAATGTTTGCTTCAGTGGGTCAATTATTGTAATACACAAGATTTTTTTCTTAAGGTCATAATTTCCGATATTTCAAGGTTATCGTTGTTTTTTTCAGATGGATTAACGTATTTTGATTAGTGTAATATTGTATCTAATGAAAGTACAAATTCAACCATGTATGTTAATTTATTATACATTCAACGCTGATAGTTCTAGTGTTAAAAACGATTCAAGGGGGTTACGTGTCTTACAGGCAGCTCGAAAATCGGTTTTCCGTACTCGTCTTTCTCGCGCGGTGGTTTTCTTTCCACGGGACTTCGAGGTCTGTTCGGTTTCGCCAGTGTTTCTACCCTTCCGGACGCTGAAGCGGACAGGGCGCTTTTCCTCACGCCGAAGGGATTAGCTTTGACGGCTGTACTCTCACGGACGTTCGGTTTGGCCAATTTTTCTGTACCAGGTGGTACTGCAACGGAATATAACACATTTCGATCCACCGATTGCTTCGTCGACACCACGTGTACATTTTCAAATACTAACCTTTCCCTTTCAAAGCTCCCTTTTTCACGTTGTAAGGATCATCTTGGCACGGATACGGTGTATACCTCCACGCGTGTTTCTCCAATTTTCTTTTCTTAGCCTGTTTCTCTTTTTCTTCTGTCGTCTTCTGCTTGTCTTCATCCTTTTCTTCGTCTCCTTTATCTCCGTCATCACCCTCGCCCTTTTTAGATTCTCCCTCCTTTATTTCACTGTACTTCCTTTTCCTTCCCCCTTTCTTTTGCTGCTTGGCCAGGGCTGATTTACCCCTCTCCTCACCTTCCTTGATTATCCGTTTCTTCCAAGTCTTCGCTGGCTCCTCCTTCATGTACTTTATCGCCACGTATTTCGGCAACGCCAGATAGTCCATCCACGGTGTGATCTGACAATCAAAGGAATCGAATTTATTACTCCACAATTTATACCAATAGGAAGAAGCATATACCAGAAGTCATTGGATACCTTGTACAGGAGTGCCGTTCTTTTTACACCGAAAGGCGTGAATAGTCGTGCGATTTCTTCAGGCGACAGTTCATTGCTCGAGTACATCACTTTCTTCGACATCGCCAATTCGTTCAACCTTCCTTCGTCGATACATTGTTTATCTTCGCTGGTCAACGACGAGCAGGATCCCTTCGTCTTCACCGACTCGCCGCAATTGTCTTTCTCGATTTTAGTGCCCCGAGGTAAGCTCAACTCGCGAATCCTATCGGATGCTTCATACTTCAAGGCGGCAGGAGAAACTTTGTAAAATACCCGACCGTAATCGCAGAGCCTCACGTTCGGTATAGCCAGGAGCAACAATTTTTCCGACGGTTTGAACTTCAACGTAGCTTTCGAAATACTGAAATCCAATCTACAGTGTACACTCAGATCGGGTCGTTCGCGGTGTCTCGCTAGGACTTTCATTCTTTTCCTCAGCTGTGACAACGGCTTCGATGGTCGAACCTGAAGAATAAATTACGCATTACTTCTGTCATCTAATCAATTTTCGTTATTTATTTTTCGTAAAGAATTTTGGAAATTCCGTTTACATGGAAAACACACTTACTATTGGCTCAGGGGCTGGAACTTTCTTCGGCAACGCGTTGACCTTTGTCCACGCATTGAAACGCGTCCAATCGGCCGGTGTTTTCAGCCATCCTTTCAGCTTCAGCGTATACTTGCCCCTCCTTCCAGTAATCGAAACAACGATTGTAATTAAACGTAAAGTAAGGATTGACGAAAGAATACCACGATTGATACGGTTCACCTGATTTTATCTTTCGCTTTGGTTCCTCTTCGTCTCTGCGGTCTTCCCCGTTTGGTGGATGTCTCTTTCGTTGGCGTCCCTTTGGATCGAGCTCCACCCTTAATGGGGATTCCTCCCTTTCCAGGAATTGCACCCTTTCCGGAACCTGTAGCTTTCGATGAGACCGAAGGTTTCCTGACTCTCGACGGCATGTTTCTGCGTTTTCACGAACGGTTCTCAATTCAGTAAGAATCAAACGAATGTCCAGAATGAATTTCAATCGAGTACGATATCCTGATTTCTGTTGTTCGATTTGTTTGGGAAGGTGCGTAGGTTAGGTTTCTCCGGCAATGACGATGATAAACGAAGCTGTTAACGATCACACATTTTATTGAGATTTTCCGTTTCCTCCATCCTAGACGATACTGTCCCACTTTTCATTTTGCTATATTATATCCATTTTTTTTTTCTGTCGCACGAGTCGCGTTTACCAGAGGTCGAATAGCGACATGTTTAACGAAAGATGCGCATTCGTTTGTTTCATCAATGGTTCGTGAGTATGAAATTCGTCGAAAGATAGCAACAATTCAACGACGTCGCATTCAGTTGGACAACAATTCCACAATTACAAAATAGAAAAAATTCTGTTCGTTTTTAATCACATCTGTTATTACATTGTTTATCGTTTCAGGTTGAATATAATGGTTTCCCTTCAGTCATACGTTTGCTCGTTTCGGAAGAATCGAAGGTTGCCGCGCGTTGTACTTGTTCATCCTCTGAAAATAATTATCGAAATCCTCGCATGGTTCGGCTCGGTTGGAATAATCCTTCGGCCTGGCAAGGTCTTGTAAACGTTTCGAACAACGCTTGTTCCTGGCCGCGACGATGCGAGCATACGTGTCTAAAAGGAATTTCTTCTTCTGCGATTCCTGCGCATCTTTCGACTGCTGGTCGCTATTTATCAGTTTATGTGTTCCGTATTTCACTGTGGAAAAATGGTAAATCGTGAACAGAGGCCTCAGATAACATATGTCGCCTAACGACGTCTTGAAGACGGCTTAAAGGCGCCTTAGATCTAAAATAGCCGTGAAATGGGCGTCTTCGAGGCGTCATGTGCTATCTGGGAGAACATTCTTTTCTGTTTGGATAACATGATGTAGAGAACAGCTGAATACCTGTTGACGCTTGAGTACTTTTCACCAACAAATCCGACGCGGCCGACACGTTTGACTGCGGTCTTCGTTTGGGCTGTGCTAACTTGTTTAAAGAATCCGTAATTTGATAAGACAAGGCTCCAGCTTTTACCTGAAACGAGTACAATAATTCGATCATGTTACGGTTCTGTTTTCTTGTTCTTTTCTGTTATAGTACTTACATCGAAGGCATTGTGGTTACTGTTCCTGTCGATCCTCCTTCTTGGCTTCGCTAGTTTCTCGTACCTTGGTGTCGTATTATCGAGGACATCCGTGTTCATGTCGTTCGTTTACAAATTAATCGGACGAAATACGTGAAGTGCAGTAGCACCAGTAAACGGCCTGGTTTCCTGAGCTATTGTATCGTCTGAGTTATCGGGAGAATCGATCGAAACGTGTGAATGGAAAATGCAGAATGTTACCGGGAATTTTGGGGTGTATCGGTTCCGGGGTTAACGGTTGGTGGATGACAACGAAGTGCGATGGCCAAGCGTCGTGAAGCGAGACGTTTGTTTAGCTTCAATTTTTTTGTTTGTTTCTTCGTTCGTCGATGAATAGAAACGATGATCCGGCGAATGAAAAACTGAAAAATTCTAGGTTCCACAGTGACGTACTGACAATGAATTAAGGGACAATGTGAGTGGTACAGTTTGAAAATGTTCAAATTTCCAACGAACACGACGAATCCTAGAAACAATCCGCAAAATTACCGCATTGCCATACACAAATCAGAGTAAATTACATTTTCTCGTGTCCTGTCGTTTTCTTCGTTCACGAGAGACAACGTTTTCAATGCAACAGATACCGAGGCTCGCCGGGACAGTTTGTCGAAAGACGCCGCGCTAGACCGAAATCTTACTGGTGTGCTCCTAGAAAAGTTGGAATCATGAATCTGGCAATAAAAAACGATGATCCTCCGATGAAAATAAATATTGAAAAACCGAGAAAAGTAATCAACCTTTCAGCGTACCGATCGAAACATCGGTAACAATATCCAAGCAAATGTGATAAATCCTTCCGATTTCAGGAGCGCCGTAAAAAAGTCCGATCGGTATCGAAAAAGTTGAGACGCATCGACATCCTTGCGCAACCGAAATCTCAGAAGCACCAATCTGAACAGAAAAAACATTCCACCGGTGTAAATTTCATTTTCATAAAGTTTACAGTATTTTTTACAGGAAATTGAAGATATTAGGCTAATCAATCATCTTGGCTTATTAGGTGGTTACGCAATCCGCTAAAAAATGTAAAATCACGAAATTATTCACGACGAATGAAAAGAATGCTCGGAAATCGTTGAAGTCTGGAAAGAAATCGAAGTTGAGGAAGCTTTCGACGATCATGCTACCCAAGAAGTTGCAACACCGACTGTTTTCTTTAGGTTGTAATCCAATGTTTCTTTTATCAATCATCGTTTAGTGCTGCAAAATTGATCCTTTTTGTTTTGTATTTGCAACAATAGTAACGAAAAAGATCAAGGAATTGACAAACTCTGGAAAGGTATAATGCGTTAGCAGATCATCTGAAACTGAAGGTGCAGGCAGTCTGCGGCAGTCTAGACCAAAAAAAAGGGTGCACACATTTAAGAAGTTACAAATTTATTGTAATCGAAATGTACAAAAATATCGATGGACGGCATAAGGTACGCGTGAAATTATTGTATACGGTAAAATCTTATAATTATTATAAAACTTGCTAATATGGACGGATCAGATTCGAGTCTGGAATTCGCAAGTTAACGATCAGAATATTTCTTTCAATATTTCAACAACTCCTAGTTGACATAAGCAACGATAAACTATTTTACCACGTTCAGTCGTCTGATAGCGCATCTAAGTGTAAAATACTCAAAGTATAATCAGCTTGTGAACACATTTCACATAGAGACGATAAAAATATAACCTATAAATACAGCGATGTAGTTCACCGTATCTTCTGACCTAATACATATACTATGAGCTACTTTTTATCTACTGAACACGTAAGCGAGTAGAGCTGTAGCTATCGTAGCTAGTATAGACTGTTCTATAGCGGACGCACCAGCGTTGCAGTCGACGATTCTCCTGGCCCTCATGAAGTCAGGACCTAAATACGCACTGAATTCTCTTTTCTCCGGTGGTATCACCATTAGTTGTTGCGTGGCGTCTTGGAAAATCAGATCGCTGTACGGGGGTTGACTGTAGAACATGCTGAAACTAAATTCATCCTGCTCCTTTCGTCCGTAAAACTGTTGGGCGTAAATGAACAGATTTATGAAAGCGTTTATCTGCGTCTCGTTGTATCCATATCCTCCGCGAGTGACTATGGCGTTCGCCGCGACTTTCCCCAAGTTGCAGTGCACGTAATCGGTAGTTGGTCGACGTGTGCCGTCGGGGCAGAGCAACTCGAAATCTTTCGTGAAGGTATTCCGTGCCCAGGTTTCTTTCCGTTTCCCGTCCGTGTTCTCAGCGACCGTAGTATGCTTCACGAAAGCCACGTCTCCACCTCCCTCGACTAAACACCTGAAGGCACCCGTGTACCCGAAATAATCTTCGGACGCGTCTCTGCGACAGTAACGGAAGCTTGCTCCGTGACAAAGATCGCACATATTATCGTAAGGCACTCCTAGAACGTACAATATTATATGTAGAGGAATAGATACTGGATTTATAGTAAACTCCGTTTCCACAACCACAATTACCTGTATTGTATTCGGTACTGAGTGCACCGGGTACACAAGACTTCGTGAAATATTCCGCGGCAGCGCGAACCGAATCGCAACCGTAGCCCCTAATCCAAGTATTTGAGATGAGATACGCCAGAGGGTAGACCCAACCCGCAGCAGTGTTGATTCCAGTGTGACAAGTATACTTGTTCTTCAGGTACGTTAAATCCGTATTATCGTCCTCCTCCTTAGCCACCGCGACCACGTAGTATTCCGGCGTAGGCAGGTTATATACTTCGGATATGAACGGAATCAAATCGAAGCGTAAACCAGCGGTGTAAACGTCACTGGTGTCTAACACTGCTACGTCGGCGTTTCTAAAGCAGGTACGTAGTCTGGTATTAACTTGAGATCAATTCCATCGAAATGGGTATGGTCGTCCCTATTATATTTATACGTACCCATTTTGTATAGCCTGCATGCAATGAATTTGACTGTGTCCTTTATGACAGTTTAATTCCGGCTTTAATAGTTGCGCCTTTAATGCAATCTAATAGAGAAGAAATCACGTTAACAGTTTAACTGTATTTTTCAATTGACTATTGTTTATTTTACAAAATCTTCACCTTCATCTTCACACATTTTTCCATTTCCGGATCAGATGTAATGCATAGTGTCATTCGATTCACAGTACAACGACGGACGTCCAATATCGGATCCAGAGATCTACCCAAGAACCCACTGTAAGTTTGATCTTTTTCTAGCAATTGAACAAAATCCCGCGCTGAATCCTGGAATTGTACAATTCAGCTTGAGATTAAGACCAGGACGTGCAACAGTTTGTACAAATGTAAATGTTATTCTTACAGAGAAGATTAAGTTATGATGTATTCCATATCTTGGTGCAGATTCAAATAAGTTAAACGTCTCTATTGGTTGTATATTCGTTGATTCCGCTTTGTCCCATGAATTCAGTTCGTTGCCATTATAACTTCTATCGTATCCGTTACGATTCTCAGAATTTTCTGTGTTATATTCGTTTGGATTGTCATATGCGTTTTTGGTGTAATTATTTTCACCAAATCTGTTATTGTAACCGGGTCTGTTTTCGAAACGATTATCGTAAAAATCAGTCGAATTTTTAGTGTTATGTTTATTTAGTATTCGAACTGCTTTCTCTAGGAATCGCTGATATTGCCGACGAGTTTCGCTTTTTGTTGCTGACGATGTAACTATCGCGCGCGATGGCACTGCTCCCCAGTTGCAATGCTTATATTCATCTATATTCTTTCGACTACCATCTTGACAAAGCAATTCAAACTGTTCCTTTTTTACTGAATCTGTGAAAGAAGAAGTACTCGAGTCAATTATTTCACAATCTTATCATAATTAAGGTAGATTATAACAAACATACTAAAGTCAAAAGTCGTTGATGTCATTTCATCCACTGTGGTATGCACCAAAAAAGCAATTTCTCCAGCTTCCACTAGACACCTAAATGCTCCTTCATATCCTGCATAAGGATCCGCAGTTGTACACCTGTCACCCGGTATTTTACCAATGCACAACTTACACAGTTGATCAGAATTATCACCTATAATTTCATATAATGATCATTAACTGCTCTTAATGTAAGTAACATATGTATAAACATACCTAATGGATTATATTTATCAATCAATGAATTAACAGCACAACTAGGTCCAAAGTATTTTATTGCAGATTTCACATGATTATTGCAATCAATAATCTCCAATCCACCTTTCTTCATAAGCTAATGTGCAATAAAACAAAATATAATAAATATTATGTAAGTTATGTAAGAATGCAATGAAAAGAAACTATATTTACTATATGAATAGGAATAATCCAACCAGCAAGCATTCCAAGACCGGCGAAACAGGCTTTTTTACCCCTCAAATTTTGTAAACTCTGAACATCCTGAAGGGATCCTTTTTTAATAACTGCAACTGCATATTGATAATTGACCCCGCTTTCATAAATCTCTTGCATAATTGGTATTAAACTGTGATATCTTCCCGCCATAAAAATTTCTCCTGCATCCAAAGTAGTTATCTGAGCCATCTCCTGATCCAACATAGCCATACATTCCTCTTTGTTCGATACTTGTTTACATTGCACAGAAATATAATTGTAGTCAAAGAATGCAATTTCACGATCAATTGCTCTGGAAAATGCATTGCACTTGTTTTGTTCAGCTTCAGATACCGTGCACCATATAAGAGTGTTATTAAGATTTTGGCCTGTGAATGTAGTTCATGGAGAAAATATTAAGGATCAAATTAATTAATACATTACTCAAGAAGAAAAATTAATTTAAATACCTTGTACATGAAGTAAAAATAAACTAAGTAGTATAAGATACATATGTTCACTGTTTTTGAACGACATTGTTAATATTTCCTTAATGCAATCATTAATTAAGACGAAAGACAACACAAGACAACACCCAATACTGCGATGATACAAGCCATACTAATACAGGGTTTCCCAACTTCGTAAAACTACAAAGATATTGGGGTTTTCAAGAAATATAAGGTAGCGAAACATTAAAGCAGTACAATATTACTGTTCATTAAGACGAGAAGTGTTACTAATATCTTGTAACATTTCTCATTACTTGATTTGATATGTGAAAAACACAAATGAAATAAAACCATGATGAACAATGAGAACCTCTATTGTAGTCACACTCATTCACCTCTGTGAAGTTAGCCGGGCAATTATGACTTTTTAACGTTTCACTATACCACCGACTAGGTGTAGAATAGACCTACCATCCAATGCTTGTTTCTGTCCCATGTTCATAGGGCTACGTAGCCCTGTTACCATTTTAGTGTCAATATCCGACGTCACCGATAAAGCATGAATTCTGAGTATTATTAGCACAAATGAAGTGTTATATATTCCATTCATATTACGTGTATCTATTAGATATCACGAGAATAAAAATAGACAGTCATGAAACATGAAACGGAAAAGTATATATTTTTTCACTTAACTACAAGACAATTTATTCTAAATGCATCGTTAATGCACATTTTATTAATGTTACTTTTTACATGTTCTTGTTATATTCGTTTTTATATCTTGTCTTCCATTTATATATTTGTAACAGAAAAATTCAGAATAGATGTAGTTTCATAAATAGTTTATCAAATCTACATGTGGGACAATATATACACCGCTTTTATTAACATTTACATATTTATAGTTTATATATAATGGCAAGGATTATGCGCACATTATTTGCACATGCTTCGATTACATTTATAGCGATAAACGAACACTATTTCTATTCATCAGGCGCTGGATTAGAAGCTTGAAGAACACTGATTAATAATTTCAGTTACTTGAGAAACAATAATTACTAGAACATTGTTAAAATCACAATTGTTTCCAATGATTGTCAGTGGGTCTCCTCGTGCGCTTCCCGTTTAGTGCATATTTGGACAGCTCTTATAGTGTTATACGGACACCTTTTGTTTTGACCAACCATTAGATTTGAAGCTTAAAGAACATAGATTAATCCCCGCGCATTGATAATAACAATGAATGACCAAAACACTGTTAAAATCGCATTTATTCGTGGAATACCGCTATTTTTTTGACTGGTGGCGCCACCCGTGGCGAATTGCTGAAACTGCTAGCCAATTAATTGACTAGCAGTTTGAGCGAATCGCCACGGATGGCGCCACCAGTCGAAAAAATAGTGGTATTCCGCGAATAAATGCGATTTAAACAGTGTTCCGGTCGTTTATTGTTATTGTTAATGACAGGGGATTAATCTACGTTCTCTAAGCTGCAAATTGAATGCTTGGTCAAGATGAATGCTATCCGCATAACGGTATAAGAGCTGTCCAAAGTGAACTAAACGGGGTATCCATGACGGTGCTCACTATCAACTATTACGAACAGGTGCAATTTTACCATGGTTCTGGTCGTTTATTGTTATTAATAATATACGGGGATTAATCTACGTTCTTTGTGCTTCAAATCGAATGCTTGGTCAAGACGATAGCTGTCCGCATAACGGTTTAAGAGCTATCCAAAGTGGACTAAAGGGGGTATGCATAACGATACTCACTAACAACTACAAACAATTGTGATTTTCACACTGTTCGTGTGATTATTGCTTATCAATCAATAAAAGGTATTATTCTATGTTCTTTAAGCTTGAAATCTACTGCTGGAGGAAGAAATCCGGCGTTCGTTTAATCATGTAAATGCGATTGTATCATGTTGGAGTAATATGTATGTATTTACTGCTATCTCCGTATGGTCATGTGATAACAGATGCATACATAATTCTTCTAATTCTGGGTGTTTGCGGTATTCAGTCGATGCATTGGGTTGTCAGCAATGATTTGATACCAACAACGTTCATTTTAAACGTCTAATTACTGAGATATTCGCGTTTTTCCAATTGCAGAAATTTACACTTACCTGTTGGTATAATTTGGTTACCAGTTTCAGCGATTTGCCACGGGTGGCGCCACCAGTCAAAAAAATAGTGGTATTCCGCGAATAAATGCGATTTTAACAGTGTTCTGGTTGTTTATTGTCATTAACAATATTCGGGGATTAATCTACGTTCCTTAAGCTTCAAATCGAGTGCTTGATCAAGATGGAAACTATCTGAATAACATTGTAAGAGGTGCCCAAAGTGAACTATGTGCACACATATGCAAATGCCTCGTTTTTGCATGTGGGTACTTTACTCCAAAAAGATGTAAAATGGATAACGAAACCATAGTGTTACCTCTCTTTGAAATTGAACTATTATAATATAAGCGTAGATAGGTAGATAGCAACTGTTGAATATGCAAATTGACAATATCTAAATAATATTTTGTGAAACAAACGGGACGAAGATTTTATACATCTACGTGGAAGATGCGGACAGTGGCGCTATCTGCTCCTATTTCGTTAGTCCCCTGATGTAGGGGTTTGACACGTATACTGTTTTCCTTGTTTCCGGATTTGTATAAATGTCATTTGACCATTGGAAAGATATCGTTGTTCTTCATTTCCACGTGATTTTCTCGTGATCAGGTGCGTCCAATGTGTTCGTCATATGCGTAATTATTATCATTACATGCGACACACGAAACATACACCTGAAGCCAATATAACCTTACTTTTGATTTATTTTTTACATTACACCGCTCGGTTTATTCGTTTCTCATTTTTTAACAGAAGATTATACGTTAATCAGTTTTCCGTTGTAGATCGTGAGAGGAAATCTCCTTGGCAAAGAGTAAAACAGTTGCAAACATGAGCACTATCACAGAACAACCTTGTTATACTCTGATAAACATTCCAACTGATACAGAGCCACTAAATGAGCTCCAGTTGAAGCGAGACTTAGAAACTGGCAATGTTCAAACAAAAATTGATGCCCTTAAGAAAACCATTCACATGATATTGAGTGGAGAACGTCTGCCAGGACTTCTGATGACCATTATTAGATTTGTTCTGCCTTTCCAGGATCACACGATTAAGAAACTTTTATTGATATTTTGGGAAATAGTCCCAAAAACTTCCTCCGATGGCAAATTACTTCAAGAAATGATTTTAGTTTGTGATGCATATAGAAAGGACTTGCAGCATCCAAATGAATTTGTTAGAGGTTCAACTCTGAGGTATTACTCAAACAAGTGATTTCTTTCTCGTTTGAAGCACGAATATGTGCAAGAATGTTTTGTGTCTTCCAGATTCTTATGCAAATTGAAAGAGCCAGAACTTTTGGAGCCACTGATGCCTGCAATAATTGCTTGTCTAGAGCATAGACACTCTTATGTTAGACGTAATGCTGTCTTGGCTATCTTTACAATTTACAGAAATTTTGAGTTTCTGATTCCTGATGCTCCAGAGTTAATAGCTAAATACTTGAAGGGGGAGCAGGACATGTCTTGCAGAAGAAATGCATTTTTGATGCTGTTACACGCTGATCAGAGCAGGGCACTGTCTTATTTAGCTGCTTGTTTAGACCAAGTGCCCAGTTTTGGCGATATCTTGCAACTGGTTATCGTGGAATTAATTTACAAGGTGCATATCCGTTGCAGAATTTTCCATTCTTAATTCTTACCAAGATATAACACGTAGGCGTGTTCACAGGTGTGCCTTGCAAATCCATCGGAAAGAGCACGTTTTATTAGATGTATTTATAGTTTATTGAATTCTCCAAGTGCTGCTGTACGATACGAAGCAGCTGGCACTTTGGTGACACTTTCCAGTGCTCCGACTGCAATTAAAGCTGCAGCTTCCTGTTACATTGAGTTAGTTGTTAAAGAAAGCGATAATAATGTCAAACTGATTGTGTTAGATCGCTTGATCGCGATGAAAGATAGTCCCATTTATGAAAGAGTACTCCAAGATCTAGTTATGGATGTCCTGAGAGTTTTAGGTATTTTTCGTACAGTAAATAAAGAAAAAATATTAAAGCAATCGGAACGGCAGTAAAAATATCGTTACTCATAACTTTAGGTTCACCAGCATTAGAAGTTCGAACTAAAACACTAGCTCTTGCAATGGATTTGGTAACCACTCGTACTATCGAAGAAATGGTTCAACTACTAAAAAAAGAAGTGTTGCGTACCGCTGGCGGGGAACATGAAGATGCTGGCAGATACAGGCAGCTCCTTGTACGAACACTGCACGCCTGTTCCATTAAATTCTCAGATGTAGCCGCTACAGTGATTCCTGTACTCACAGATTTTCTCTCCGAGAACAACGAAGCCGCGGCGACCGATGTACTGGTGTTTGTCCGTGAAGCCATTCAACGATTCGAAAATCTCAGACCGCTCATCGTTGAGAAGCTTCTCGAAGTAAATACTCCGAATGAGTAATATTTTCTCTTATATTTTAACAGGTTAGATTATTTTTACTTTCCGTTGTGTAGGTATTTCCTCATATTAGATCAGTGAAGGTACACCGAGCAGCGCTGTGGATTCTGGGTGAATACGCTACTTCGAAGGAAGACATCGAGGCTGTCATGAGTCGCATACGGGCTGCGTTAGGTGAATTACCATTACTTGAATCAGAGTATAAACGTCAAGCTGGGGAGAAGTCGGAAGATGGAAGCGCTCAAGCTGTCCCAGCACAGTTGGTTACATCGGATGGAACATATGCCACTCAAAGTGCATTTAGTGCTGCATCTACCCGTAATTATCCATTTCAGGTGCTTTTGGTATGGTAGATATTTTTCAAATTGTTCTTTTAAATTGTCCTATTGTTGTAGGCAAGAAAGAAGAAAAACGGCCGGCTTTGGTTCAATACATGATGGAGGGCGACTTCTTCATTGGTGCCTCACTAGCCACAACCTTAGCCAAGTTAGCGCTTCGCTATAAGGGTCTTGAAAATGACGCCCAAAAAAGTAATCGCATGCAAGCAGAAGCGATGTTGGTGATGTCCAGCGTATTACAGTTAGGTCGTTCAGGATTACCCGCAAAGGCAATGACACACGACGACGCTGAACGACTCTCCTTGTGTCTGAGATCCCTGGCCTGTCCAACACCACTTGTTCAGAAAGTGTTCACCGAGGGTTGTCGCGATGCTCTTGGTAGAATGTTAACAGCCAAGGCGGAGGAAGACTCGCAAAATCAGAAGGTAATGTACGGGATGCATTCGACTTATTCATTTGTCGAGTCACGTTTTTCATTTCTACAGGCCAAAGAAAAGCCAGGTAGTATTGTCCAAGTGGACGATGCCATACAGTTCTTACAACTGAGCCGTGGATCGGATGTAACTGGAGGAGCTGGTGATATGTTCGAACAGAGTCTCAGCGCTGCCGTTGCCGGAAGACCTGGCGCTAGCGGAGACGCTCCAGCTCCCAGTGCTTTGAGCAAAGTTACCCAATTGACCGGCTTCTCGGACCCTGTATATGCGGAAGCCTTGGTCCATGTTAATCAGTACGATATTGTGCTCGATGTATTAATCGTTAATCAAACTGAAGATACTCTGCAAAATTGCACACTAGAGTTGGCGACGATGGGGGATTTGAAACTTGTGGAAAGGCCACAGCCTATCGTGCTTGCGCCACGAGACTTCGCGAGTATTAAAGCAAACGTGAAAGTAGCTTCCACAGAGAACGGAATAATATTTGGAAACATAGGTACATTCGTAATATGATCGGTCACGGTATGGTAAATATCTTGAAGCTTCTAATCTTGTGTAATTTTTTGTTTCAGTTTACGACGTGTCTGGTGCTGGATCTGATAGGAGTGTTGTAGTCTTAAATGACATACACATCGATATCATGGACTATATAGTTCCGGCAACGTGCACTGACGCAGAGTTCCGGCAAATGTGGGCGGAATTCGAGTGGGAGAACAAGGTGTCTGTAAATACTACTCTGTCAGACCTGAGAGAATATCTTGGCCATTTATTGAAGTCGACTAACATGTGTTGTCTAACCCCGGAAAAGGTATGTAATTACGCTTGGATTATCAGTACCCGTGAAAGGACAAATGTAATATAATACTTTGATATTGTTTCAGGCGCTCTCGGGACAATGTGGCTTTATGGCTGCGAATATGTACGCGAAATCAATATTTGGCGAGGATGCATTAGCGAATATGTCCATTGAAAAGCCACTGAACAAACCAGATGCACCGGTAGTCGGCCATATTCGTATCCGAGCGAAGAGCCAAGGAATGGCGTTGTCGTTAGGAGATAAAATTAATTCCACGCAGAAAGGTCCACAGAGCAAGGTCGTTTATGCTGCTTAAAGCGTGTAGTTGTTAATCTGTCTCATTTGTCCTCAGTATTCGAATTGTTACGGGAAGCCCGATTGGATTCATCAGGAACGCAAATGGCGGCCATCGTCTACTTTCGTTAATTCCACGACTCCAATTTAATTCCTTTTAATTAGACATCGAAGTATATTTTATATAGTACACTCTCGTATCAACTTATGCGCCATTTATACATTTTATTTTTTTCCATTGTGTACATCAACGCTGTCGAACGACGATACTATGTATCCACGAGTGGAGAAATATACATATGTAGTACATTAGCTATAAGTCTGGATTTTTAATTGAAACTGATTTATCTGATACATATTTTTCAAGAAATAAAGAACGAGCACTCTACTGCACTTGGTGTCGATGTTTCACATATTAACCTATTTTTTAACCTTTCACAGCCGGCAATCAAAATTTGTCATGTATCATTGCATGTCGCAATAATAACACAATATTTCAGGCATATTTATTCGCCTCAAGTAAATATGATTTATGAAAGAATTATTTCACATTTCAATACTTTACGACCAGCCTCCTATTTGTGATGATTTATCGCTCAATGATCGTAGTGATGTGGGTCTAACATTTACGACTCTCTCTCTGGTTTCCGCTGTAATGAACCTTTTGGGACTTAATGTAGGCTGTAATCGTGATTTAATTCTTTTACTTATTTATATTTGTTGATACTGGATACGTGGAATATGTGACCTCATTAGATTGGTTTGTTGATTTTAGCGAAGGAGTTGACACTCGGAGGGTATTTGAATAATTTGGTAAAGTCAATAAACGCGCTTGTGAAAGACAAACATTGTACTTAAAATTTTGGAAAGTTTTGCTTCTGCAAAATATTTGTGATTAATTTTTCAATTAAATGTGCTGAGTAGGTCATGCTATAAGTTACATAAGGGTACTATTTCATTCTAAGAAATATAATTTCACTTAGTTAGCATTTCTGTCTTTCTTAGAAATAAAATCCGTGAAATGTTTACCAATTGATTGTTGGCTAGCTGCCGTTTGAGAGTTCACGGACTTTCTTTTGACGATAGGCTTCTCGGCGAGCGTTGCTGGTATACGTATATTCGCGGTGCAAGTTTAGTAGGTTTCTCGTCGAAAAAGTCCATCGAAGTCACGGGCTTCGGCTGTGAAACGGAATACAATCGAAGGTACCAATCGTGTTTAATTTAAACAACTATTCAGAAAATTCTGAATATACGTGTGTCTCAATTGAATGGTTTTTTCAAGCTCCATTTACGATGCCTCTTCCTTCCTATTTTTACACTTTAATATTATTTTCCTAAATTGGTACCTTAACAATAGGTGAGTTTTAGAGAATCGGTTTGCGTATCCTTTGAAACTTCATCGGTTCCTATAATAAGTCGATGTTTTTGTTTTCAAATAACTACATATTTTTTTCCTATTGAATCGTGTAGCTCATGAAAAAATATAGTCAGATATGTATTGCGATATGATCTTAAAAAAATATCTAGTTATTTGAAGAAAGCATCGATGAGCTTGAAACCTTGGAGAAAAAAATTTGAAAAACAAAACAAAGCCTGTAAGATACTGACCACTTAATACAATTTAAATTACGTATAAAATATCTTTTGAGTCTTCACAATTAAAAATTATATTCGGGGGGTGACACTTAAATAAAACACCCTGCATACATTCTTCTTTGGTGCCAGTGCCACTCAGTTCCTTTTCAAAATTTCCAGAAGCTCACAACCTCCAGGAAGATAAATCTGACTTGAGCTCTTGAAAGTAGTCCTGGGTAAGGAGCGTCCATCTTGTGCTCGGAGTGACCGTTCACGACGTATCGCCATATCAACGCCTTCATCACTGCTCCATATCTATCGCGAAGGAACAAATAAGCTCGTCGTAAAAGACCCCCATTACAGTTTACATCGACGACCCTTAAAGTCTCCCAGACACGATAAATCGCGTGTACGAAGATCGGCCATTACTTGTAATCGCCCTGTGCTTCCCCTATTGATCTTCTTCGTCTGAATACCACACATTCTAAGCAACAATTTCAACGGTGGTAGGTTGCTGACCAAGAAAATAAGAAAAAAGGTACAAGATAACGATATCCTCTAAAAATAAAAGTCTCTGCTTCTTTATTTTGCTAATAAGGTTCCTTTATGTCTCATCGAATAATCTGACCACTTTCACTTCCGTGCGTTGTGGAATTAATTTAAAGAACTGCAACGGTCATCCATTTTACAATTTGAATGAACAATGATTGTCAGAAATGTTTCAGTGGAAAAATCGAAAAAGGCTCGGATAGAATTCGACTTGACAATTTTTTTGTCAGACACTAGTGAATACGAGATACAATAAAAGGGGTTGGTTATGGGTGGTTTCCACAAGGATTCTGTGCCCTTTGCCCCATGGTCATTCGTCAAAAACCTGGGAGAACCGTTGTCGTACCTTTAATTTCAAAACGCAATCTAAGTTAGGATTATTCGCTTTCCACGTTGCACCGAGTATATACTTTCATTATCATCAGAAGATAATGGGCGAAATAGATTCTGCAATTTACACGAAACAATTCCGCACGGTGATCCCGACGAACTCAATGGCGGCGAGTTGACGCAACTTCGTAACGAACTCGCCAAATAATCGTGGCCAAGAGTTGCTGCACGTGGGAACAAGCGACGAAAGTTTTCTGTTTGCGTGTACAATTGTATATACAGCCAGTTCAAATCGGGTCAGCTGCTTCGTGGGCAAGTTTTTCTCGTCCACTGGGGTGGTAGTTGTCAACCTTTTTTCAATAAATCATAATTATTGAACTATCAAACAGATTGAGTTGTTTTTTATGGGTGCTTTTACAGTGGAGACGTAAGAGTACTTAATAAAAATTAATTCAGTTATAAAGAAATATTATTTAATCATTTATTTTGCTTCAACCGACCGAGCTGGTGTGCTTCATATTGCCAATTTACAAATGTTCAAATTTGTTTAAATTTGTCCACAAAGAGGACAAATAAGGCTATCATCCTCAATTTTTTAAAAAATGTCAATAGTGCACCGCTATTATAACATTGCTTTTCTTTAAAACAATTGCGAAATAAATGGTCAAACAATATTTTCTTTAAACTGAACTAATTTTTATTATGTATTCCTATGTCTCCACTGTAAGCACTCACGAAGCTTATTTTGATAAGTTAGTTAGGTCAACAGTTATGATTTATTGAAAAGAGGTTGAAATATATATATTTCAACAGCTGTAAATTAGCACTGACCTTTTTATCTGCTATTATAGTACAATGTTTTTCAAGTCCATTCGTGGATCCATAAAGTTTGACAATGTAGGATTGTTAGAATTACGACTCGAGGAGACGAAACCTCAGACGCGCGTTTTAGCACATCTCGTTGTTACATTATGACTGTATAACACGATCGCCTCATATTTTTCGTGCAATTTCTTCTTTTTTTTTTTATGCGGATTATCTTCCCGAATGGCCCCTAAGTCTTACGACCCCGTTGGTCTGTGTCTACACGTCGGTCGATCTCGAGTCCACTCTTTTTCTCCGAATGGAAGCAACAGTTTCGAGAAAGCAGTATTTCGATATAGAATGAATGAAGCTGACTCGCACCAGTTAATTGCTCGTGGAGATATTTACTTTTAGTTCCATAAAAAATTTTCCACAAGTCGTAAAACACTCTATTTAGATAGACACAGAATTTTGAAAATTGAAATAAAATGGTAAAAGTACATCGTAAGCTTAGAAAATCGCTATTCGATGGTTGAAGGATTTTTTAAACCCTAGATCACTAAACTGTCAGAAAAATTATGACCTTGAATTCACGATCTTCAAAATCGACAGGATGCTGTCATGTCATCAACACAAGCGTTGAGTGATTGCTGTCTTCATTTTTCATTATTTTTAAGACTAACGTATACCACCACTATTTTGCTTGTAACTAATGCGACAATTTGATTATTTTACAACAGTGAAAGGTCCACCTGACCGCGGTGTCGGGTCAGAAATCTTTTCTTTGTGTCTGTATCATTTTTACGCTTTCGAAAATTATAAAGCATTAGGTCTCTCACTTTAAAATCGATGATGTTTATAATTTCTGTTTAAATTAAGAGAAAAGATCAAAAGATACACTGATATGTAATTTATTGGTTACAATACCTTCTATTTATCAGTAGAAAACCGAATGACCCGTTGGTTCAACCCAATATATTTGATCTTGCAAAAATTTAAATGGTTCGATAGATCTTCTACGACGTCTGATAAACTACTGAAACACTAAAAGCAAACATGGAACGAATGACGGCGACAAGGACGAAGCTGCAGAGCCAACAGTCCTGGCTGTTACCTTTTTTTTTTTGCTACACTCGCCTCCTTCCACCGTTTCCATGCTGTATCTGAACAGTTAAGCCGCACGGGGAACATTTTAATACGTGGGGCCAGTTTAATGAATTTTCCGGCTGAAAACTCCGTAGTTTCCGTCTCGTTAATCGGCCTTAATACTGTTTGACCGCTTTGAGTTCTTTGCCACGAAGACGTAGCGCGGTTTCTTCGACGAGTCTTACACCATTATGGCAGAATTAGAGCTGGATTCTGCCGTAATTAACAATGGATCGTTGCATATCTTCGACCAGAAAAGAAATACATTATACAACAAGAAAATAAAATAGCCCAGCCTGCCAAACCTGCAAAGCCAAATTTTGTCCAATGTCTGTTATAAATTTATGCAGCAAATTGATGGCATTGCTATCAATTTCCTTTACCATTTTGTCAGCAGGTGTTGCCTGCAAAACCCAAGTCAAATACGAAAACAGATGGCTATGGTTTTTTAGACAACTTTTGTCATTATTTGCTGGCAATTTGCTCGAAACTTGTACACAATTGGTTATCAGGGAAGTTACACATTTGACAGGAAAACTTGTACACGAATGACATTTGTAAATTTCGAGAAGTTACGGATTTTTTTTTCAGGAGCTGTCCAACGAAATTATTCCAAGAACGGCAAACGCAAGAAAAATAATCGGTTGCCAACGTTGCTGACACAAGAAAACTGCAAAATGTCTACAACCTAGGAACACGCCGCATCGTCGTAAAAATAACACGTACGTTTCCGAAGAGTGTCGAAGATGAAGAAAACTTTGAAAACTCGCGAAGTCGCGACCGATCGAAACATTTATGTTGTGAAAATACGTACGATTATCGCCACAGGATATTTGATTAATAAAGAAAATATTACACTTCGATCAGTTCGAATAGAATATGGCTTCGAATATCCAACCTGTCAGTTACCATTTTTGATTCTGTTGTTTCGAGAGCTTTTAAAAGTTATCAGACGTGTTTAGATATCTCTAAATGTACACATTAATCTAACAATGTACAAATAACAATATTTTTTTAAAGAAATCAAAGTCTGTTGTTACCTTAGTAATGTACATTTTTCGTCAGTTCTCAAAAGATTTAACAGGGATAGTGCATCAAAAATTCATCATTCGAGAATTCAATCTGAAAAACCTATTTTTCCTCTAAAATTTATAACATTTTTCTTATTCAAGATAGACAGTTTTCGATTTCAAATTCGTAATCCTCAGGGTCGAAGCCATAAAGAATAGTAAATTTAAATTCTTGGAAATGCTTGCCCTGGAGCGAAAGGGTTAATAGTAGAAAAAGAATTGTTTCTGAGATCATCCTGAATAGAACGCTTTTCTTTTCTACAAGTAAATATTAATATTGAAGAATCGCGAAGCGGATCGAGTGAAAGCGGACGTGTCCGTGACAAACCGATCACAAAAAAAGCGTCTTTTTCCGTTGCTTCTGCGATCGATCGGAAACGGAAACTTTCTTCGGTTGTCGATACAGCGGAAAAACACGATCATCGTTCCCGAAGCGGAAAGAAAAAGGAACCACGGTGCCAATAAAATCTCCGTCGCAATTCCATGAGATCTTCAGTGTCCAGTTTCGTTTCTTCAACGAACTTCCGGCGTTCATCTGAGCATTTCTTCGGTTCCTGTGCAGGATTTACGAACACGTCAATATGGCGTCGTTCGAAAACACTTGGAATCTTGGATTGCTTCTACTCTTGGCGGTTTTGAGTGGTGATTTATTGGTCGCTGAGAGGATACGCAGGAATCCCGAGGACTTCCGGTACACAGAGGACGTTGAAGCTGCCGCCAGTGAGCATGAAGGCACGTATTTACGTACATTATACTTTCTTTTAACGAAATTAACAAATAAAACAAGCTTAAATAATTTCTACTTCAACGGACATTAATTTTGAATATACATAGATAGTAAATTTTGCAGTGAAAATAAACGTTGATTGCTGGAAATATTTTTTTATCAGTACATCATTTTTTTTTCATCTGAAACATAATAAGTAGACTGCGGATTTTATGCATTTATAACATCCATGACTGTCTACAATTGGGTGCAATACAATTTTTAATAAAGTTTACCGAAGTTTTCATTTTCTGTGGAACCTTACAGAAACCTTGGCCAGGCAAAAAAATTCTACTTTACTCCAATTTTTATATATTGATCTATAAAAGTCTATATTTGCATGAACATCCGCAGTCTAATAATAACACAGTTGTAAAGGGTAGGTGGAATATAGTGGAAACCAGTATAGAAAGGAAAGTGGCAAAATTACGAGTAAGAAAAATGGAATCAGACAATTTATGAACCTTAAGGATTCTGCTTAAGTACCCCTCATGGTCCAAGGCTTTACTTACATTTGTAATTAATTCAAACAGGTGGAAGCAAGCATGAGGAGAAGGGCGGCGGTACTGAGTACCAGGAGGACCATCGAGCCGCGGACGGTGTAAAGGACGACAAGGTAAGTCGATCAAACGAAAATTAATCCTCCTTATTCTACGATTCTCATGCATTATAGAGTATGAAATAAGAAATCCTAATAATTATTTTAAAGCTATTTCTTTACAAGGAATTATTTTACCTGTGCTCATCTTTCTGATTTCGTTTCATCACAATCGAGACACTCCCTGTAGAGTTCATACATTTTTGCTGAGGCTAAACTTGTTTCAAATCACCTCACGAGTCTCCCATTGCAGGAACCTGCAACATTTTCGTTACACCTTGTATACAAGATTTCGTGTTAGTTTGTCGGTTCGCTATCGACGTCCCCGTGGCTCGTCATTGTCGACGAATACGGTCGTTTCTTTGCGAACGACATCCTTCCAGCAGCAGAACGACGCTTCTTTCTTCACCGGGAAAATATTCTTTGTAACGACACGGTGTTTCGACGTTCCACCTTTTGTGTGACACTGGACGCTTCGGATATTGCGTTTCAGTTTTATCCCGGCCACGGGGTGGACAGTCCGGCTTCCGGGGCAATTAATTCGTTTGCGAACTCGTTACTGGCTGGACCAGGACACGTTGCAATTGCAAATAAAAGCCTCCGATTTAATTTTTCCAACTGGTCCTTCATGGACGCGTGAGGTTTGTCGTGGTATTCGCTGAAACATCAAAACAGACGTATTTTTAGCTAAATTAACATTCAACGAAGCTTACCAATAAAAATTTTGCGTCAGATTGGGAGATAAATTGTTCGATGTAGAAACTAAACGGGAAATGAACATTAATTTGTCTGTTCAAGTGGAACGACTTATAAACATTTTAAAATTTTATTCCATTTAAGGAATACAGAAATATTCGGTTGGTGTTAAAAATTAGGGGATAGTTTCACTGATCCCTTTTCCTGACCTTTCAATGAAGAAAAATTATATTATTGATTAATTATAACGGAGGAAGTTATATAATTGACTAAAAGAAAGTTCTTATTTAGCTCTTTCTTTTTAATGTCGTAAAACGAAAAAAACTTTCCCACCAACCTTATATGTTCTGTAGTCTTCTAGAGAAGATCGTAAAGTTCAGGGTTATCTTGTAGGAGCAACAATGAACTTGTGAAACAATTGAAAATAAAAAAGTCGTATAATTTAAGTTCAACCTGTCAAGAGGATATCAACTTTCGAAATTTTCGCGAGAGACCACCTAAGACAGCTGGAATAAATACAATTGAAAATTTGCATTCACTGACAAAGACGAATTACGTGGGCTGTTCGTTGCTCGACAGTTTTCCCCACACCCTCTTTGCTAATCGTGTTCCATTTAAAACAGGGTTACAAGGTTTTCCACGAGTTCGACAAGGGCGAAAAGGGCCATCACGACAAAGAGAATCACAAGCGACAATACGCCGAGAAGGAGGGCGAGGAGGAGAAGAAACACGTGGAAGTCGATCATTACGATGAAAGTCACCGCGGCGAGGAGGGCGAGAAAGCCGCGAAATTCGACGAGGAAGGGAAACACCAGAAAGGATACAGCACCAAGGGGGAACACAGCATCTCCAAAAAGGTTTCTTTCGAGCAATACTATAAAAATTGCAGTGCAGTTTTGTCGTAATAAATTTCAGTGTCAGTGAATTATAACCGATTCTTTGAATGTACTATACATAGTACCATTACAAGGGACGTTTCTTAGATGTTGAATAAGTTTTGAAAAAATAATGGTTGGAAATTATAGGACTCGGTCTCCTAACAATTGACACAAGTGTCAGTCGTCTATTATACCTACTGAATTTTTTTCAGTACTTAGACGGAGCCCTATAATTTCTAATCATTTTTTTTTTCAAAAATAATATAACATCTGCGTAACCTCCATTTCTAGAAGTATATAAAATCGGAGAAAAAGAGTACAATTTGTGTTCCAAAGATTTTAATTATATTATCAATTGAGGATCTTGTTTTCATTATATAACTAAAAATTAAATATTATTTTTTTTCGGTTATTCCATAATAATTTTGTTTTTTGTCTAAATTATTGATGATAATTTTGTTTCTGTGAACTTAGTTTCACACTGAAAACAGTATTATTAATCGATAGTGAATGTGTATAAATATTTTTTTCAGTCACTCTATCCAACGCATTAAATCGAATTAATTGGGGAACTAATTAATTATGACATCGTTCGATTACCGTGGGCAGGCTTTGATGCATTTTTTCCACGGCTTTATTCAATTTTAAAAAGAAATGTTACAAAACGTCAACAGAACAAGAGTTCTCTGTCTACGTAAAACTTACGGAAACTCGATGACTCAATTTTCCCAGCATCAAACGCAGCGACGCGACGCGGCTGAAATAAGCGTACTAATTAAAAATTACTTGGCTAATTTGTTAAAGCCGATTAACCTGTCGCAGGATGAGTATGAGAAAAAACACGACTTCTATGATGAGTACCACGAGGACGGGGAGAACGAGAAGCATGGCGGTTACCATCACGAGCACGAGGGCAAGAAAGGTGGCCACGAGAAGAAGGGACATACCGATTCTGCTGGTAACGAGGTTCGTTAAACAGGAATATAACAACAATTCAATTTTACCTGTTCAAAATAACCTTAACAATTACCAGTTATCACATATGTAATAATTAATGAAGTATAAATTATTTATTATAATACAAAATTAAATTGTTGTATTAAACATGTAACAATTTAAAGAACTAACACACAGTTATTGAAGTTATTTATCCAATTTGCTAGTTTGTCTGAAGAAATTTATCACTATAATTTTGTTGTTGTTTATTGCCATGTATTAATTCATAGTAGGGACATTTTTTTAAAGTTATAGATTGGAAATGGTAAGAATTGAAATAATTTGCTGGTTATTTGTGTAATTCAGAGTGCAAAGAAGAATTAAATCGAATTAATGGTTGTTAAATGAATTCTCTAGCATCATCATGGGAAGAAGAAGAAACACGAGGAGGGCCATCATCATCGCAATCAGAAGGGTCGGAAATTCAAGGAGGGCCACGATAGTCATCATCGGCATAACAAGAAGTATGGCAAAAAGGGTGGCCATGAGTCGGGCAAAAAATGGTTTGCCAGCAATGGTCATTGAAAATGTAAAAAAAATTATTTTGTAATGATATCTACGTGACTCCTCTTGACAAGAGAAGCTTCTTTTTACTTACATAAGTTACGATTTATTAAGGAACTATATCATTCGTACTCCAAGGTACAATTATTATATATTGTATAAACACGCTCTTTTTTTAATTAAAAATGTACTTTTAATTTTCCTTTTTGGAATTTTGAAACGTAATTTACAAATAATATTTGGGACACAATTTAACTCATAGAGGTTATAGCGTCTTCGAAATTGAGTCGTATGCTTTTCAATTTTTTAGTCCCTCGAGTAAACAATCAATTTTTCCATCAAATCACAGATGTTAACGATCGTGTAATTCTTTCATCCAAAATGTATCGCGTTCCTTCACGCGAACGAAAAAAACGTTACTTTCACGCCCTGTTACGTGTAATTTCGCTGGCTGTGAAGGAGGTCTTTTGCGGCCGGCTCCATCGTCATTTAAAATGTTCGCCTCGAGTGTTGCACCGATGTAATTACAGCATGCGAGACTCTTCAAGGGAATCGGATTACAAAGCGTGGCAAGAACGTTCGAATCGCGGTGGCTGACGATTTCTCTGGATAATAAGGACACTAGGCGAATAACACGACCGCATGTTTTCTTTAACTTTCGACGAAAATCATGCTTGACAACGGGTCACCACAGATATAACAATAAAAGTTACAAGGAGCGTGTGGATTTTTATGCGGAATAACATTTTATAAAGTAATTCGTTGACTACTTCCAAACTTTTCGACTGTAACATTAAACATTAGTGAAACCTTTATTTTATTGCATTTTTCAAGTTAAGAAATGCTATCAATGCATAAACATACACAGTCTAATCATTGTTCAATTAATTAACATGGAGCAAGAATGTTCTTTCGAATAGATGACAATTCTCAATAGTCACTAATCAGTAGACTCAAGATTTTATGCATTTATCGCATACACGATTGTCTAAAACCCAATACAGCTGAAATTTTAATAAAATTCACCTGGGTTTTTACTTTCTGTCGAACCGTAATAAACCTTAATAAAGGAGACCATTTTGTATTACATTCCAATCTGTATAAATCAATCCACAATCGAGATTCGCATACATATCGGAAGTTTACCGATTAGCTATCGCAATATTAGTCGCACACGTGACATCATAATGAAACAGTAACGAAAAAAGAAAGTCAGTGACTAATAAAAAAAAAAAAAAAACTGAACAATTCCCAGACGAAGGAAACGATGAAGTAATTCACGATTGCACGCGCGCGCGCGATCTGATCAAGCGGGAAGTCGATGACTGGTCTATGCGCCGTGAAAAGTGAAAATCTTGGCGTGAAATTGGCTACGGTCCGCTACCCTGTATCCCATTGTCGCGATCTCGATGCTCTTTGAATAAACGGTTAGCCGTGGCGTGTCGTGGGATCGATATCGACTCGGAGGAATTGCGAGTCTTCGTGCAGCGGGAAGCCAGACGTCGAGTCGAATTTCTTGGCTGTGTTTCGTTCAACAAGCCTTTCTTCGTCGAACAGAACCGTTAATTACTTTCGCTGAATGGAATCTTTCACCTAGCTCGGTCGATACGGATTTTTTTTCCTTTTCTCATCGGTTGCCCTCAGGATTCTGTCGAATATTAGCTGCCTCTGTAGGTATACTAAATGTTAACCTCTAGTATTTTCCTCGAGTTTTTAACATACAAGTAAATATTAACACCACATTATTTTTCTTGGATTTTACCATAAAATAAAACAGTAATCTTCCCTATTTTTCTGGAATTTTTCACATCAAACTGAGTATTAACCCTTACTATTCTTTTCGAATTTTTAACATAAAACTACATGTTGGGCCCCCGTACTTTTATCGAATTTTTAATATGAAACTAAATGCTAACTCCATTCGTCTTTCTCGAATTTTTAACGTAAACCTATATATTTTTTGAATTTTTACACCTTGTATAAATGGACAGGTAGAGAAGATGGTAACGAAAGTCTGTTTGATCCAAGGTTCTGTGAATTAATTCGTTATCACAGATACGAATGAAATTCCCGTTCCAGAAAGTGTGTACTTTGTTCAAAATATATTTTAGGACAAAGTTAAAAGAAAACTGGAGAAATCACGAGTGTAACAGAGCCGTCTTCTATCCTATGAATTGAGTAAAGTTTCTGAGATCAGCTGAAGATTGCGCCTGGAAATAGTTAAGGGTAATAGCGCGCGTGTCGTAGGAGGAAAAACGTCAGAAGGGCTTCGTGACGCGAGCTTCGGCAAATCTCCTTCCCTGTCGGCGAATTAATCGGTGGAACTAATCCAGGATCACTTTTCGTTTTTTCTTTCTTTTCTCGTTGCTCCACCCTGGTGCCTCCGTCTCCCACGCGCTCTGTCCTATGTACAGTAAACTTGCATTCGTCGATTTGAAATCGATTTTAACCCTCCGTGACCCCCCTGGGGCCTTTTATGATACAAGCGAAATTTCGTGGTCAAATATCTCTGAAACGAAAGGGTTGATATTAAAAGAAAACCTTTTAATATCCAATTTTACAAACTATTGGATCATATACTAGAGACCCTAGGAAGCATCCTTGGATTTTTGCAGATTTTTTGGAAGCCTACAAGGTAAAAAGAATAGGTCTAGATATAAAAGACTCAGGGAGGTGACCGAAGCAGTAAAAATAACGGGGTCCACGGAGGGTTAAATCGCTTATTTCAAATGACAACATATTTAAAGTTTATTTCTGAATTTTGAATGTTTGAAATCTTTTGATAGATAGTAGTTTGGATACAGTACAGTTGAATCAAACGTAATGTCACTTGGCCTATTCACGAGAGAACCGTATCGAAGTGACAATTACCGATTTTGACGTAACATCGTTAGAAAGTAGTTCTGTGAAAATATTTGACACGATCGGTTTTTAGCTACCATCATCCACAGATATATTTCACGACAAAGAATATGTCCATGAGAATAACTTTCTAACAAAGTTGCATTGAAATCAATGATTGTCACTTCGGTATATGATCCTTTGTCAATGAAATTGATTTTATATAATCAAAGTTAACAAATAAAGTCAATTTACTGAAGATCCACGAAATGTCTGACAGTAGAAAATCAGTACAAAGAGTGTTCTCGTGTTCGTTAAATGCTCCACCACCAGTTCTGAGGTTTAAAATATTCAACAGGTTTTTTTGGTGTTGTACATCCAATAGATTCTCATTGAAAGCTTGACGAAGATTTAACAAGCATTTCGAATTTACAAATAATTGATCTCAGCAATCGTACAACGGCGCGAGTTAAAACAGCGATCAGATCGGCCTCGATCGTGTAATCACAAACGCGGGGGGAGAATTCATTAATTATTGAGAGTCGTTCGAGATTATTTGTCGTGTCGAATGGTCGTCCGTCCATGGTACATGGACATGCAACGTTAATCGAAATTAATATTGTCACGTTAACAGGTGTAAAACACTCCACGAAAGAAATCCGAGCGTAACACGTTGGAGAACGACGATTTTTCGCACGCAGAGTGTGGGCATAATTATCATGCTCCAATTGCGATAGCTTCTTTTTCATGCGACTAATAAACACTGTGACGATTTTTCTGCGTTTAATGTGCAAATTAGGAAATATTTAGGGTAATAAGTGTACTACGAAAAAATTCTAGAAATCCAAATTGAATCGTTGAATTTATAAGTCTGGGAGATCGGGAGAACTTTGTGATACGTGTAATTCCTGCAAGAAATCTCTATCGAGAGTTCTTACGACTACATACATAGTTTCGTTCGTCGCTTTGATTCGAATTCTTTTATTTTAACACGCTAGAAACTTCTGTCCAGAAATAACAATTATCCATCGGTTTTTCCCGATTTTTTCCTCGCCGAACGATCTATTGTCCTGCATTGCTTTCGACGAGTTCTTTCGTCGCAGAAACCGAACACACGATCCGATATGTCGTTTCTCGCTTCGCGATTTCACGCGCAAAGAGACGAGAACCGTAATTACGCAAGACCGCGCGAATCGTAAAAGGTGATTTTCCGGGTTCCTGCCGGATCACGCCTTTGCTCGGATTACGTGGCGCGTTACACGTCGTTAATTTTTTTTGTATTGTGGTCCGTCTGCTAAAAAGTTCGTGGAATTTTTTTCGCTGAAAAACACAACAGGGAAAGAAAAAATAACAAATGGAAGCTTCTCTCCGAACGGATGATCTTGTTAAATACAAACGAAGATGATGATAATCGGACGTCGACAGGATGTCAAAAATTTTTGGAAAAAATTGTCCAATTAATAGAAATGTAATAATAAATAAAGGGAAGTTATTATCATGAAACAGAAGAAAGAGGAAGGTAAGATATTAAAAAAAGTAGAAAAAAATATATTAGGTATAGGAATTGAGTCATTCACTATTTCTTGAGAAAATTGGTATAAGTTTCTATAAGAGACCAGTATCTGGACTGTTTAATATTTATAATGATATTTCAATATCCTACATCATTTTTACTGTAGGTCTACTTATTAAGTAAAAATCTGTTAAAAATCTAACCTCATGAAAGGATTCTAAGTGATGTCCTTCTGAATTATCGAGTTAAAGCTAAACGAAGTCATTACGAAATTCACGGTAAAGAAAGAGATTATGCAATAACGGTCGAATCGACACGTTGAAACATTTTGGATGGTTTGCGATACGGCGATCGATCTGGCCGAATGACGATCTTGTGCAACAGACGGAGAAAGGAGGAAGCCGGATCGGTCGATCGATCGATAACGGGATCGACGCGGCTTCGCTTCACCCGCTCGATCCGGCGGCCCTCCTAATCGGTGTGAAATTGTCATATAATTCGCGAACGGTTTTCTGAGACGCGAAACTACCCGATATAATTGTCTGGCCGGTTCAGAATATCAGTCCAGTCTTCGTCGTCTCCCCGGCGAGTCATGCGCGCCCGTAGATCATCGACGGCAACCCTGTTGCTTCTCTTTGTTTGCCTGGTAACGTGAATATTTCAACGATTCTTCGAATTTTCTTTCAATTCTCAACGTGGACATTCCATAAACAGTTTCTAAGATCGGTTCGAATCGGTTCTATGTAACACTAAAGTTGTATAATTAGAATTTAGTAGACAGAAAAATGAATTATTTATAATTAAAGTTTGTTACCTCCTAGAGTGGTCTGATTTATGTCATTTCTAGTAGAAAAGGTTTTCATCAAAAAGTTTCACTGGACCTGGTACGTGCTTCATTTTGTATATTAAAGATAGTGGAACTGAATTTTTTAATTCTTCCAATTGGATGATATTCCATGTTATTGGTCAAAATAAGCACAATGGATTTTACTCTGTTATTACACATACTCTAACGCTGTTGTACCAATTTTTATTTGTGTCAGTAGTATTACTGCTTTAGGACTGATTCTTTGGGAAAATAGGAAATTGTCTGAATTGAGGAATGTATTAATGAAGGTATTATTGAAAACAGTGTTTCAATTTTTACATTCACCGCGCAGACAATCAGATGGACCAAAGTGAACGGAAGAATCATCAGACGGGAGAGAACCGTCCCATCAACGCAGGTCGTCTTACCAGGCAATTATGGTAACCATAAAAGAATATTTCGAATTTCCAATCTCTTGAAATCCAAGGAAAACAAATAATAAAAAATGGTGTACATAGGCAGCCAACGTGATGTTCAAGGGAACGATGCTGTTCCATTGATCTTGGACCAACGAGTGGCCCAATCGGAATTGGTGATAGTAAACATGGACAATCTTAAAGACGTGGAGAACATCGATCACGCTTTATCAATAATCGAATATGAGCCACAGAAGATCCACGCAAAGAAGAGAAGAAATTCTGGTGAATATACTCTTTTTCATCATCTAATTCTTAGATATTCTAGATTAAAGATTAACACAGTCATTCTCTTTCCAGACTCTGCACTCTCCAGTAGCCAGACAACAGGTATATCTTTACCAGACAACACTTATTACGAAGTTCCTCGAACCGTGCAACCAAAGAAAGCGACAGTGACGCCACAGTATTACTCAAAACCTAGCCACGAAACAGCAAAGACCCCTGAAACTGTCCAAACAGTGAAGACCAGAGACATACAATATATCTACCCAATTCTATCACCAGGTAGACAGACCAGACAAAGGTCCCCCAGTGCTCGTCAAACGTTGAATCCTCCGAGTGCCTTACCAATAGTGGAAGCAAAATTAGAAAACATTCTCCCTTCGCGAACTAAGAAACCAAGACAGTTCGTTGCCAGCACCACCCCATCGAGCGACTATTCCACTAAAACGACCAGGAGAAGGAAGAGTCGCAAACGAGCCGAAAAGACGTCCAGCCAAGATGCTGCCCCAGAAAATAGCAACAATTATCCAGTGACGGACACGCCTAAGGGTCACACCGTGCTGACCAATGAGGGCAGGGGCAAGCATAGGCGATTGGTGGCCAAATACGACGTTGTACCCAGGCCATTCGTCAGGTCGCAGACTACCAAGGAGAATCAGGAAGGCAGTTTGGAAAAGTTGACGGACGAGGGTGCGGTCTCGGGTAGGAGTCGCGAGGCTAACGACAGAAATTATCCAAATGCACCGAAGAGTAATGGGGGAGAGTCTAATGGCTACACGAAGTCAATTGCCCCCGTAGGTAGTCCTATATCTAGCTTGAATAGGAAGCTGTACCAGAGGAAGAACACCAGACAGCGTCCTACTGGTAAAGTGGAGGCAAACAGCAGTCCTATATCTTTTTCAGAGAAATCGACCTGTTTTTTCATATGACCAAGATGTAGCTTCAAAAGTGTCCCCAGTGACCCCATCGGGGCTAGACATCTATCAGAACATCGAACCTTCGGTTGTTACTATACATTCTAACAGCCCATCGTCTACCAGTCTGCCACATGTTTCACCAGTTTCTCATGCTAGTGACTTAGTGTTCTATCCTTCAGCCGTGTCGACACTGGCACCAGTTCTGGACTTTGAAGCTAGCTCTGTGAATCCTTGGATTCCAGGCAGGCTGAGCCAACCGAAACAGAGGGACGTTGGGGAGGTAAAAGAAAAAGTTGATGGGGAGGTAGATGGTGTGGCCCAGGCTACCAGTTTTGGTAGCGATGAAGGAGGATCGAAGGGAAATGGAGGAAAGTATGAGACTTACGAGACGCCGAATGAAGATCATTATAGCCAGAATGATGGTCAGCATAGTCAGGAGTACAGTCAGCAGGAGCAGAGTTCGAATGGAAATAGTGGAGATAGTCGAAATAGTCAGGATGCTTATAGCGGTGAAAGCAAAGATGATGTTCGCGGTGAAGGCACCCACGTATCTTTGCATAAGGGTCAGGGAGACGTGAAAGAAAATGCAGGAGACGGTGGTGACGCAGGTGGCAAGGGGAGTGGAGGCGATGACGAGTTTGAAGAGGGTGGTAAAGAAGAAAAACAGGAAGGGCATGAAAAAACTGAGGGTCAAAAAGAGAAGAAGGTAGAACGTTACTTGTAATCCCTGGTAGTGCTATTACCTGTGTATATCACGAATTTTGTTTGTTTAAAAGGTCTGAAATCATAGAAGCATTCTAAAAGTTCTAATACTAGTTTTGAGTTCTTGATAATGAATAAATACAAATTATATAGTATATTGTTGAGAAATTTAGTGGAAAGATAGTTGAGCAATATGACTTTCAAGGGACACATTTATTTATTCGAGATGACGTCTAGTGTATGATGCCTAGAAGAAAAAGTCGAACAAGAATAATTGTGTTGAAACCTTTTGTACAAGTTAAGAAGAACTAAAAGTATTAGGTAAAAATGGATCAGTTGTTATGAAAAGGATTCATTTTTCATAATTAGTAATTAATGCTCTACAGGTATAATCAATTTTTTACCTCATGTTTAAGGAGTGCGTAAAATGGTATTTTAAATTTTATTGATTCAGTATATTTGACGTATACACGGTTTCAGTACTTTTGAAAGATTCTATAAGATTTCGGACAGTGTTATTGGCAATAAACCGGCTGTCGGCGGCGCAGGTATTAACAAATTGTTCTGGTATGTTTTTCATAGGGCTACAAGAGCCGGCACGAGCACGAGAAAGCCAATAAGGGTCACCACGACAAGGAACGGCAGAACAATTATTACGAGGAGAAGGACGGTAAAGAGAAGGAACACAATGAGGAGGGTGGCTATCTAGAAGAACATCAACAGGGCGAGGAGTCGGAGAAGAAGACCGAATTCGACGAAAAGGGTGAACACCAAAAGGGTTACAGCACAAAGGGGGAACATTCTGTGCACAAAAAGGTGAGTCTCAGCTGAGCCAATTAGTCTGTCTGAATTGAATCTGTTAACCCCTTTCTTTTAATCACTGGCGAAATAGTTTAGTGTACAGACTATTATAGAAAAGAGAAACTAAAACTGGTTTCTAATTTTAGAAGAGTAAGTTAGAAATTTCTGAGAGTTCTCAGTTCCATAACATATCCATTTAAATTCTATTAACACTGTTTTAGATTCTAGATTTAGAAACTAAAAATTTCATATTAGGTGTACCAATGAATAATTCACTATAGTTCCAATATGATAGCAATACATTTTAGATTCAGAATATCTTTCCAATCCTCTCTTTAGCGAAAATAACGAAGGATGATCGGAATAAATAATAAATATTGTTAAAATAGGTTAGATATTTGAATTATTTCGAAACGAATACAGAATTTCACAGCAACTATTGGTGCACATTATATTAAAGATTGAGAGATATCATTTCAGTTTCTGAACCAGTTTGACATTTTAAAAAATCGCTAACCAACCTCTGAACACGGACACCTGTCCTCAGGACGAGTTCGAGAAGCGTACAGAGTTCTTCGACGAGTTCAACGAGGACAGCGAGACGGAGAACGACGGGGAGTTTTATCAGGATCACAAGATGACGAAGGGCGGCAGTGAGAAGATGAGTCATCACGACAACGAGGACAACGTGGATAAGTATGGTAAGGAGTCCAAATACGAGAAAGGTAAGCAATACCACGAAGACAAAGGTCATAAGACGAGCGAGGGTCAGGGCAAGTATCACGATCACAAGACCATGCACGGGGAGAAGAAAGATAACCAACAGGGGAAGAATTGGTCTTATAAGAACGGCGATGACGGAAGTGCTGGTAAAAACGGTGACAAGTCCCATTGATTTTTTTCTGTATTGGTTGACACTATTTGAAACGAGACTATTTCGAATGACAGTATTTCAAATGACACTAGTGTAATGGCAGATCAATTTGTTAATGAAGGTTTGATTTTTTTTTAAAGTGTTAGTGTATTCTTCATAAACTAGTTAGTTTGATAATAAAAAACTAATTCTTTGATTAATCATCTAAAGTTTGTCAAAGTGTGGAACGTTAATTTAGAATTTGTTAGACAAGACTTTTCAATGTAATTATGGGCACTGAGGATGATGACTATGGTTACAATTGTTAATATCACTTACAATTAACAGTTATATAATTGGCCTCAATAATTGATAACTAGTAGCAAAGACGGTGTTTTCAGAACAATTAAATCTGTCGGAAAAATTCTGACGTTTCCGTACATTAGAATGAATCCAAGATGGCGAGGATGTGTTTCAGAACTTTTACCTAACTAATATATTGATTTTGTGCTATAAAAGTAAAATTAGCATACAATACAATACGCTAGTAATTAATAATACAAACATGAGGCAAATGACTCTAAATTTGACATCCAAAAGTAAGTTGAAACAAGTAGGTCACAGTCATTTCGTGGAATACTTCTTATTCTAGAGAATTGACACGAAGTACAACTGATTCAAATGTCCAGTCAAATATGCCAGTCCGCCACTTTCAAATACAATTTTTCTAGGGTAAATATTATTAAAACTTTCCAATTAATTTTTTTTTCTGTACAATTACTTTCCCTCCGTTGTACCTCAGCTACAAATACCCAGTACAGGCGACAACTCGCCACTATAACCAGTATTCTTGTAAATAGGATTGTAATATCATTGTTTATACGCACGCTGTTTTTTTTATATATTGTTACTACGCTATAATTATAGAGATATTGTTACTTGTTATAATAAACAAAACACTCGAACTTGTTGAACAGCATCGCCCGTTTCCGGTGGTCGCAGTGAAGCTAGCGCGCAAAATACAATTTCATTAACCCTCCTACCCCTCCCCCTTCGGCCCTGACAGACATACCCTACATACGTAAGCCGCGATCTAGCCGGTGAAATTCATTTGTTAAAGTTCGCCACACCCCCCTTTTGCTTCCTTATTTACGCCCGTTTCCCTCTATGAGAACAGACGCGTGGGTTTGTAAAAAATGGCCGTCTACGCGGAACTGCACCGTGCAAGGAAGGTCGGTATCATCTGCGACACAGAACGGACGGGAAGCTTTAAACAAGACACGGGCATTTCGTGGCAATTGGCGCAACCGTGGGTCACCGCAAAATTGTTGGAAAAATCATGCTTCAGGGGTAAAGAGGGCTTGACGTTAATTTTTAGCGGCCTGATCTTCTAAGTCAAGAATCTGGACGGGACCGGAAATCTAAAATTGGCTTCTCGAACGTTTTAGATCGAAAAAATTATCAATTCTTGTTAAATGTAAGTACTGTCGATCTCGACGACGCTTTAGTTAAATTTAGTGCTTGTAGAGCGATCGGATATAAACAGTTTTTCATAAATACATTCATAGTACAGTATTCCACCGATTATTGTTAAGAACTCAGGTTCGTATCGTGACAAGTATTGAATAGGAGAAATGCTTCTTCCCTACTATTCACAAAACAAAGTACTATCCACCACGTCAATTCTGCACATCCTTATCCTCCCACCTTCATTCTATCGATCCGAGTCCTGTTATTAAACAGGCCAGCTCGAAATCACGTGGAACTAATCCCAGCTGCGCGAAAAGTCGCGGATGCCGGCGACAGGTGATTTGCAATCGTCCGTTGGATATCAGCTAGTTCGGCGAAAGATAAAAGTCGCCGCCACGAAATGATTTACGCCAACAGCAGAACGGCGCTAATGACGCGTGGGGGCCACTGCCTGATCATTACTCGCGTTTCAAGCCGTCCCGATGAGCCCCGTGCGAAGTGACAACGGTTCCATTTGGCGGGGCCAACGAGCTATCGTCACGTATCGGTTTGTTCCTCCGCGATCGACGCGTGCCGCCTCCACGATGACCCAGATGCAATAACAGAGATAACGCTACCGGACGACCCCCTCTCTGCGATAACTTTTTACCGATACTGATCGAATCACTGGACGGTTCTCACGCTTCGATTATGAAAAACGATCGTAACCGTTCCGATGGTCACGTGTGTCGCGTAGGTGGTACTATTGGAGTTGGTATCAATGAATATATTAGGCTGCTGCAAAAAGTCTATTAGGTTGCCTATAATATTGCCTGTAATTTTGAAAATTGTAAAGTTAGTCCTCTGTTATTGTGTATACGTATATTATTACAGTAGTGATTCAACCTAGGCGATGGTTCAAATTCAGCAACTTTTCCTTATATTATACATACATACAGTATTCTGTCGATCATTGACATTAGTTCATGATCCAATCATGGGTCTACACGATCTTTGTCAGGGCGTCATACCCACCACTGTACAATTTAGTTTATTATTCATATATTTAACGCTGGTAGTTCCAGTGTTAATGTTCCAAAAGTCATATTATGCATTAAACCGGTGATGAGCAATTCGATGCTTGCCCTTCGGCTTTGTTTACGCGACCGACTTCAATTAGCTAAAGTGAAAGATTTTTGCGTTCAGCAATCTATGGAACAATTAATAAATTAGTTTTTTTTAAGGTTGCGGTTGCGGTCGTCGCGACCCATAGGGATTATTGGGTTTTCGATTGTGGCTCATGTCGCAAAAAAGGTTGCCCATCCCTAGATGGCGAATCTTTATACACTTTATAGCATCTTTTAACTTGGACAATGCAATACAATATCGGTTTCAATAATATTTAATACTATTTATCTGTTATCATTAACGTAATAAATCCTCCAGTAGAGAATTCAAAATTTTGCTCCATTTTACCTTTTCAATATTAGTATCTACAATTGTGAATTTAAATAAACTTTCAGTTTACTCATTACTGTACTAAAGTAACTTCCAAATGTTAACTACGAGTTTGCAAACACATATCAACTCGATTTCGAAAAGAGTAGCATATTCTTTACATAAATTTACTATTTGTTAATAAGGTCTTATTACTTCTGGCCCATCTGGTATAGTCTAACCATGAGTGGAAACTTTTTTCTAATGTTAGATCGTCATTCGACGAAAGAATTGAGAGATGGAAAAGTTTTTTCAAGTGAAAGACGAACAGCTTGTGGTGGAATACACGAAGAAATACAATTCGTTATGGATCTCATGTGGAATGATGCGATCACGGATGAATACAGTCTGTTAAAAAGGTATCCTACTATACGACATCCTCAAGTGTCTTGATAATTAGGATTTGCTTTGATAGACATCTTGTAATGATCGGGGGAAGAAAAATCAGCTGATGCGATTTTCATGCAAACAAAAACGTGATTGGGACTACGTTGTTACTTATAATCCTGGTTAAAATGGACAAATTATTTTATTGTCGGATTCTATTATTATTTGCTAAAAGTAGACGGATTTATTAAGTTTGTGTTTATGGTTCATGGTGATTTCGGTATCTGATGCGACGATATCAATCCCTTGTACCCCACCTGTCTTATATGATTCCGATATTTGATCTGATCGAACCAATGACGTCGAGGAAAGTGAAAATCCGTGTCGCCCGATTGTTTGTCGATTTGGTTTGCGATAAGTTTCAGGAACCGTGTGTTTGACCACGTTATCTTTAATAGCAGGGAAATCATATTAAACTCTTAATCTATTAAAGTAAATCTAATATCGTAATAACAGAACCTTGAACATTGGAAAATTATTTTCTGTCTAACTTACTTTGCCGTTCCTTTTTTGTATTTACCATCGACGTATCGATACTGGATAATTGAGCAATAATTACCCGATATGATGAAACGGTAATTACAATCGACACCTTCAAATCCTTTACACGATAATCCACGTTTCTCGATTAATACATTAAATTCACATTTGTACATCACGCTGATGCAACGCCCGTCAACCCGCTCGAGTTAATAAAATTCGTTCATACCAATTTGCACGTACAATAAAATTTATAACATTAATTGAGACACATCGTGAACACGGGCAATCGAGTTACCCAGTGTCAGAATGGCGTGATAAATAAATAAATATTCCTCTCGGCCGGGAAATACATATTACGAATTTAATTTACCCTCCGAGTGAATTTAAAGGAAATCTTCGAACAATGAACACACGTGGGTGTGCAAATTACAAAATCCTCCCTGTTTCATCGCTGTATAATATAATATACACACCGTTGAAATTTACACTGCTTTTAGTATTCGCAGACTGCGAGAGGGAGCACATGGTTGGTGGAAATTCGTTTTTTTCTGGAAACACGAATTCAATACGTATTTACTCCTTCTAATAAGCCTATAAAAGCGATTAATGAAATTTATTTTAATTATACCAAATTAAGCACCAATCAAGTGTCAATCGTCTATAGAGTGACTAACAAATTTGTTCACGAAAGACTGTAAAATTCATTTCAAGGCTAAGAAAAAATTATCACAAAAGTATGATAAAAGTACGAACAACAAGGATACAAAAATAGAAATTATAAATAAATTTTTACAGTTAATTGTTCCGAAGTATGAAAGTCACTGTACCTGCGCTACGTCGCAACAGTCAACAATGCCGATGACCGCCAGCAGGCCCAAACAGAACGTCAGTCAGACTTCGTTGCAATCGACCCATTTCACAGAACCGTTAAAATAAAGACGATAATTCGTGGTACATCTTCCTTTCCATCAAATTAATTCCTCCGTTATGAATAAACCAAATTAGAACGATAATTATGTCGTCGAGACGATCGAATCGATCGCAAAGCAAACACAGTATGAAAGAAAAAGGGAGGAATAAGTACATAGTGGGGAAAAAGAGCAAAGGGTTTCGAAAAAAAGAACTAGCTGTGTGAAAACAATGAGAGCACACGACGAGAATATTATTGCGTCGGTTTACCCAGATGGAGAGGTTCAATCAGAAACGCAATGTCGTAGGAAGCCCGC